GCATCTGAGAGCCAGACATTCTCTGCCAGAGGCTTCTGAATCTTTCACACAGGACTTACAGCAGCTGGAGTCACCTGTCACAGTGGAGTGGACTGCTATAATGATTCTTAGTCAAGCAGCAGTAACATTGTATCATGTTTAGAATGGAGAGTCAGGTACTTGGAAGGACTGACTGAAGTGCTGCATCAAGTCAATCTTTAACATATGTTAAAGCCTCTTGTACCATCTCTGATGGCGGAGATTTCCAAACTTCCTAATATAGCACTACCATCTTTAATTTACCTGTAGATTTTCTTGGCATATGATAAAGTTACCTTACTGGACCAAAAGGATTTTGAACTTACAGATTTGGGGTCGACAGGGAGCTTACCAGCATTACTCCCTACTCTAGGTTTAATTTTTGTTTTGGTATTTAGCCAGAATACCTCTAGCAAATCTGGGTGTCGTTACACAAACCTGTATTCCCACTACTTGGCAGGAGGACCAGGAACTTGAGGCCATCCTCCATTATATAGTGAATCTGAAACCTGGGCTACATGATACGCTATCTCATCTGTCTTTCCCTCATGCTAATGGGAGAACCAAGGGGTTAGACTTGTCAGGGCTTTACTGTTTGAAAAAGCTTGGGTTAAAAAAAAAATGAAAGCATTATATTTACATATTATTTTGAAGAGTTGTGTAATCTTTGGGGTAAACTTTTTCATTTGGACAAGAAGGGATCAGACACTGCTGATATTGTCAATACAGCAAAATGTTGAGAATAAGGCAGTCTCTAGATTTGGATTCCCACTTCTGTGTCAACTTGATGTTTCCTGTGTCTTCTGTAACATACTACCACAAACTTGTTGGCTTTCAACAACAGAAAATTGTTCTTCTCAGTTCTGGAAAACAGATCTCTGAAACCAAGGTGTCAGTAGGGCCATATCCTTCTTGGGTATGTGTGTTATATTTACTACCACATGTAGCTTATCTGTTCATCTGTTAATGGACTCCCGTTATTTCTACAGTTTAGGATATGAGCAAATGCTTCCATGAATGTGGCTGTACCGATATCTCTTTGAGACACTGCTTTCAAATTTCGATTTTTATGATACAGACTCCACTTTTGGATAGAAATGGTAATTGCGGGGCTTGTTGTTTATTTTGTATTAAAGAATCACCATGCTGTTTATATAGAAACTGTACCATTCTATTAATGGACACAGATTTAATTTTTTCACATCCTTTAAAAACATTTATTTTTTGTTAATTAATTTATTTTATTTTTGAGAGAGTCTCACTATGCAGCCTCACTCTCTCAGAACACACTATGTAGACTAGGCTGCTCTGGAATTCAGAGATCTGCCTGTGGCTGCCTCAGGAGTACTAGGATTTAGACAATTGTCACCTGTAGTATTGGTTTGCATTTCCTCAGTGATTGTTGGTGTTAAGTACTTTCTCATGTACTTTTGGCCATTTGTAAACAAAGAGACCTCTTTATTCAAGTCTTTCCCCCCATTTTTAAGGTTAAGTTGCTTCTGTTAAGTTTTAAATGTACCCTATACATTCTAGATAAGCGTCTTTATCAGGTACCTTGGCTTCTAATGTTTTTTCCTGTTCTAAGGGCTGCCTGAGGTGTCTTTTGGTGCCCCCCCCCCCACAAAAGTGAGAACACTGTTTTCATCAGGATTTATTGAAATTAAAGCAAACACAGAATAAAAACAAAAATGGGAGTTAGGCTTGTACTAAACCCAGCCTCTGGCGCTGGGCTCTATGAGAATTGTTTGCAGGCGAAACAGGCAGCCTTAGAGTTCTCCTGAGACATAGCAGCAAGGTCAGCCTCACAAGCAGCACTCCCTGGTGCTGACAGTTGGAGGCTATTCTGGGACCCAGAAGACTTTGTTTTGTAAGGCCCTGTGCTCCCAGATTAACTCTGGCTTTGGTCAACCCTCAGTCACTTTTAGCCTTCTATCCAGAGAGCAGTGGTAGGTACAGTAGAAAGATCATAGTGCCCATATTATTGATAAAAGAAAGTACCTTCGCTTAGATAGAGCATGTCTTTACTACATGCTGACCGTGAAAACCTTTATTTACTAAGCAGTTTTCGGAATAACTCTTTTAGATTAAGAATTAAGTACATACCTCTATTTCAGAGCTTATCACAAACATTTACTTTAGTAGTATTCTTGTATGTCTTTAGGAATACAAGCTAAGAAAAGTACATTTAAGCCACAGTGGAAGAGAGTATACTTCAAGGCAAAGAAGTTCTCCTGTTTTTGTCATGGTTAAAACCCAAAGATTGTTTAGCTTCCTTCCCAAGGGAAGGAATGAGCTCTTGTCTGGAGACTTAAGCAGAGCTCTGGGCAGAGGCATGGGCAGAACTTTGCAGATGGGTGAATCTGCTCATGGACCATGCTGCAGTCATGAGTCAGCAGCACAGCTGCAGATGGAGTGGGCAGAGGACATCTAAATTTAGTCCTTATTCATTGGAGAGGATTTCAGGGAGCATCCTCTCTCTCATCCATGCTCTAGTCATATCTTCCTGGAACCAATGCCGGTGGGTGGAGGAGAAGCAATGGTAGTCCAAGGTGTTCAGACAGCAGAGTCCTGTGGCTTTCTTGCTTTGTAGCACCCTAGGATGGTTATTTCCAGTTCACTCATGGCACATACTTTTTTTTTTTTTAAACGTAACTCCTGGATTTAAGAATCCACATCACTCTGAAAATGAGAGAACTTTCTGAAATTAGACATACAAATTCCTAAATCTGACTAGTTCTGAGATATTTAAAATCAAATTACTTTCCTCCTATAAGCACTGGGCTTAAGCCATGGTGAGTGAGGATAAAATACATTTTTGTCTGTGTGGCTATTAATGCATTGGCTTAAAAACAACAAGAACTGTTCCCAACTGTCTGAGGTGGGTAGATTCCCAGTGTCGTGGATGGGAGCGCTGAAATTTGGTTAGGTACCCCTGTTCAAGGCCATATGCATTGGCAGAGCTCTGTTCTGACTGTAAACACTGATGGTTTTAACAATATATTGTCCTTCACTTTGTAGAGGAAATGGGGAGTGGTTTGAAGAGTTGGGGTACTTTATTTTATTTAAAGTAATTCAGAGATTGTTGTTCTGCCTAATCCCCCCATCTGCCTCTGGAGATCTCTCTCTCTTTCTCTTTCTCTCTCTCTGTTTCTCTGTCTCTGTCTCTTACCCTCTGTCTCCTTCCCTTTCCTGTCTGCACTCAAATAGTTGTACCATTTCTATTAAGTATATGAAAAAAATGAGTCTTACATAGTTATATACTTGGAAACAGGGTATTTTAATAGACTGTTCAGTCAGTGGTGGGTGTTGGTCTTAGATGATTATCAAAACTCCTAACAGTTGTAAATTTTTTTGGTGGTTCTCATGTACCTTAAGTTAGCTTTGAACTTGCTGTGCAGCAAAAGATGATGATAAACTCCTAATCCTGCCTGTACTGGGATTACAGATATGCACCACTTTGCATGGTTTATGAGATCTGGGGATTGATCCCAGGGCTTTGTTCATGCTAGGCAACTGAACTATCCCCTCAAGATTGTTAGTTTGCTAAATGTTAGTTATGTCAATGCACTGTTTTACTCTGTTTCATCAAATTCATTAATCAACAGGTGTGGTGGTGCACACTTTTAATCCCGGCATTCAAGAGGCTGACATGTGGGTGCTGGGCATCAAACCTGGGTCCTCTGGAAGAGCAACCAGTGCTTTAAATCACTCAGCCATTTCTCCAGCCCATAAATTAATAGTCTTTATTGTTTCATGAAAATCAGTTTCAAGTTGAGTGGTCTCTTGATACAGTTGCTTTAATTTATCCACTATTGCTTTGACATCATTAGCACAAATATCAGCATAAAGAAATGACAATCAATTTCCTAATATTATTGAGAAGGTAATTTTTTATTTGGCTAATGCATTCTTTCTCAGCTAATGTTTTAACTATTGCTTTGTTTGAAATATAGAGGAGGTTAAAAAAAAGAAATATAGAGGAGGGGAATCATGGGCAGGGTTTCTTATTTATTTATTTTTGGAACTCTGTCTTCTTATAATTTCTCATCATAGCCCAGGTGGCCATGAACTTGTGACAATGCTTCTGCCCCAGCCTCCCGAGTGCTAAGATTTAGGCATTTTACTGCTATGCTGGGTCATGGGCAGGGTTTTAAAAGGTAGTCTCATTTCTTTTTAGGTCCTGAATTTTCCTACTTTGTTATACTTGTCAACTATCTCCTCATTATTTGTCCATCCATACATTCATCTATTATTTATTTATTTATGGTTTGTCGAGACAAGGTCTCTCTGTGTAGCCTTGGCTGTCCTGGAACTTGCTCTGTAGACTAGGCTATCCTCGAACTCACAGAGATCCCACTGCCTCTGCCTTTCTAGTGCTAGAATTAGAGGCATGTGCCAACACATAGGCTTCTTTTTAATTCTGTGTTAAAATTGTCCTTTTCTTTTCTCTCCTTTATTCCTCTTATCTCCTCTTTGTAACTGACCTCAATATTGAAGTCTTCTGTAGCCTCTCAAATGCTGGGGTTATGGTATGTCCCACTATGCCTGAATTAACTAGATTTCATTGTGATTATTTTAGGCTTATTAAATATTTAAAGGCCTTTATTTAAAAAAACATGTTTTCCCCTACTTTCTGCTATGAAGGCGGAGAACAGTTTCTGTCTGCACCTAGAAATATACTTTCCCATGTCACTCGAAGCTATTTAGGAAAACACATGAAAACATTTCTAACACAACTTTTATAACAAAATGCTGCAGTAGCTTATCCATTTACAGCACTGTAGAAATAGTTTCAGTTATTCCCATTAATACTGAAAATAATATCTAATAGTGCTTCTAAGTTTAGAAGTCATCCTTCAGACACTTAATAGGAAAAATAGTGTATCAGAACTGCTGGCCACTGTCATTGTCCAGAGCACTGTCTCGTATGTAATAGAACTCAGTAAATACTTGTGAATGAATCAATGGGCTTTTCTTTTCAGGCCTGCATTGATGAAAATTTGGACATGGTGAAGTTTCTGGTGGAGAACAGAGCCAGTGTAAACCAGCAAGACAACGAGGGCTGGACACCCCTACATGCAGCAGCCTCCTGTGGTTATCTCAACATAGCAGAGTGAGTGAGCGTCTGTTGCGGGTTTGCTGCAAACTCCTCTGCTTCTCAGAAATGGAATTTCACAAAGATTTTTTTAAGATTTATTTATTTATTTTTAATTATTTATTCAGTGTTCTGAATGCATGTGTGCCAGCAGGCCAGAAGAGGGCACCAGATCTTATGGTGCCACCATAAGATGGTTGCGAGCCACCATCTGGCTGCTGGGAATTGAACTCAGGGCCTTTGGAAGAACAGCGCATGCTCTTAACCTCTGAGCTATCTCTCCAGCCCTCACAAATAGTTATAATCTTTCTAAATTACAGAAGCAGAAAGTTGACTATTAAGAGCTAGCTGACACTGTGTTTTGTATCATTGCTAAACACACAAAATTAGAGTTCTTAACTCTAATTTTTGTTTGCTTCTGCTTTTGTGTAATTAGTATTTTCTGGACTATTCAGCGGCAGCATTAGCCTGGTGTGCTGTCTGGCTAATTTCCAAAAAGCAGAACACATGTGTGCAAGTTGTAGATTTTTTTTGACTTCTCTATAAACCTGTTTTTATTTATTTGTTTGTTTTGATAAGTATTACTTCAGTAAATAGCAAGCTGTGTGCTGGCGCACATAGGACCAAGGCAAGGCAGTGATCGGCAGTGTGCTCCCCAGTGGTTGAATGACTGTGTTTAACATGTTAGTAGTTGCTGACCTCCGTTGGAGAGATTGCCTTTCTTAGGGTATGTGAATTCTGATCACATAGTACCTACTATATGAGAAGCACAAAATAAATGTCGTATATTAAAGAATGATCAGGAATTTTATTTCTAGTTATGAAAGAAACTTTGGCAAAGAAAAAAGATTTCAATAAGCATTTTTAAAATTAGGGCAAATTTAGATTAATAAAGTAAATCTATGTATGGTCTTTTGGAAATCAGATTGGTGAAGTTCTTTTTAAATGATGTGGGGGCTAGCACATTTTTTTCTTATTCGGTAAACAACAGGCATCCATGTAAAGGTCTGAGAACTACATTTGCCCAGGTTTCCTGGAGCGTCTTTAAATGGCTCAGTTTCCTCTTGACACATGGACTCTTAGATGGAGAAGTTAAACCCAGGGGATATCAGAGCAGTGACACACGAGGCCAGCACAGGTGGTGGTTAGGTTGTTGCTTAAGATGATAGGTAACTGGATTGCTCCCACAGCCAAGACCTCTGGGTAGCAGAGTTTTCTTTGTTCTTCATTCCTCTCCCTGTTATGTAACAGGAGAGATCTATAACCTCTTCATCGCCTAGACTGCCTGCTTCCATTTCTGGCGGAATGTTTATGAGTGAGCTACAAAATCTCATTACAGTCAAGAATTCAGTTTTTTTTTTTTTCTTTCTCATTTTTCTAAGGCCAGCTGACTCTTAAAATTAGAGTAATAGGTGGTGTCTTCTTTATGGGAAGTTGCATATAGAGAATTATTGTAGTGCTTTCTGTGGTTTCTTTAATTCATTTTTAAGGAAAAACATAATGCCTTTAAAAATAAATTTAAAATTAGAAATACTTTGGTCAATCAAATATTACCTTGACTGAAGTTAGTTTATCAGTGACAATCACAAATTATTATGCATATGAATGTCTGCCCACAGTGAGCTCTTTCACTGCAATCCACTGCAGAGGTGGGTGGAGCTCGGGCTGGCCTACCCTAGTTTACCTTGTAATACACATATTTTTATTAGACAGTTTTTATTTTACTGTCTTTACTTGTAATATTTTTATACAACAGATCAGAGAAATAACATGACTTTCAAAATTTATTTATTAATTTATTTCTATTTGCTTATTTATTTATTTATTTATTTATTTATCTTTCTCCATAACAATTTTTTTATTCTTTTTAAAATTAATTACACTTTATATAACATGATTATTTAATTGTGGATTGGAATGGAGCAATGACTCAGAAGTTAAATATTGGCTGCTGTTCTATAGACCTGAGTTAGATCTGTAGCATTGACATGGCTGCCTACAACCCTCTATTAATTACAGTCCCAGGGGATCTGGCACCCTCTTCTGGCCTTTCAAGGGCTGTGCACACATGTTGCGCATAGACATTCATTGGAGCAAAACACCCATACACACAAAATAGTAAAAAAATATTTTGTAAATTTAATTAAATAGAGACATGTATCAGCCTGTACCTCTGGCTGACCTTTGGCTCTGTTTGGCCTCAGCAGCCCTTGAACTTCAGTCCTTCTACCTCAGTAGCCCAAGTGAAAGTACAGATGTGTGCTTTTTCTACTTTGGCAGCTGTTTGTCTTGACGAACTTACACCATAAACTTATTTCTAGGATAATTGTCACTGGCTTTCAAGGGAGTGGGAATGAAGGACAGAGAAACTGGCTTTATTGAGGAGACCCACAACCTTTCTATTTCATTCCTTGGTGATCCTTTTTGTCACAGATTTTTACTCTGTATGGGTGTGTGTGTTTAGAGTTTATTTTTCATTTTTGTTCAAGGAGAGTATTAGTTAGCTGGATTGTTCCTAATGATGTTTAATTCAAAAGCAGCAAATTGACATTTAGCATGACTTATAGTTTATTGCAATGCTGATATATATTGAGATTTTTTAAAAAATACACATTTTATTTTCACATTTTCCCTTAAGAGTAGCAAAGGGAGCCAGTGAAGTGGCTTAACAAATAAAGGCACATGCCACCAAATCTGACTGCTCAGGGTTGATCCTTGGAACTTACATGGTAGAAGAAAATGAACTGAGACCTGCAAGTTGTCATTTGACCATCTTATCCACAGATAAATAAATAAATGAATAAATAAGTAAATGAATAAATGTTAGGAAATAATAGCAAAATACCTTTTATCGGTGCTCAGTGGGGCTTTTTGCAGGGACATGTGTGACACTAATGGCAATTCTGAGCCACTTGAGAGTTACCAGGCTCCTCCTGTTTCCTGTTGCTTACTAGTGCATATGTTGATGTTCACCCTTTTTCAGTACAGTTAGTGCTACAGGTTTTCATTTTCTCCTTTGAACTGGAGGGAATGTGGAAAAATGGGAAGCTGTATTCGTTGGTAGAATCTGGTTTTTATGATCATTAGCCCGAGAAAATGTCAGAAAGGGGAGAGGTGGCAGCCTGTGTGACCCAAGGACAGACCTGACCTAGACCCAAGGATAGACCTGACCTTTTAAGGGATAGATAAAGTGTGTGTGCTGTGGAAGAGGTGCAGCTAATGTTTGCAGGAGCAGGAAGGTGCATTAAGGGCAGGAGAGAGGGAATTCGGTTGGTGGGAACAGGCAAAAGATTCTCAAAGGCAAAAGTATTTGAAATGGACCGTGAGAGATGTAAAAGGTATCTGTCTGGGAGATGAGAAGAGAGTGTTCCCTTCTCTTGTAGGAAATACCTCACACTGAGAAGCAGAGCTGGGTGTAAAAGATTGGGGGCTTGCAGGCTAATAAGCAGTTGGGTTTGATTAGAGTATATGTTTCAGTTCAACCAGGCTTATTATATATACTATTTGTATATTGATTTTTTTCAGGGTGCAGAAGTTGTGGTTGAATGCTCACTTGGCTTGAGGGGAAGAAACCAGAAAAGAAAAACTCTTGACTCTGGAGAAATGAAGGAATAATTGGATACAATAACTGGCATTCAGTAGATTTAAAAATGCAGATAGACGGAATTAGCTTTAGAGTTGAGGAAGGTGTCTTCCTCTGAGTCTCTAAGGGATGGAATGCCACTTAGCTGTGTTTTAGTCAGTGTTATATTGCTGTGAAGAGATACCATGAACACAGCAATTCTTATAAGGAAGACATTTAATTGGGGCTGGCTTTTAGGTTCAGATCATTGTCAGCTAGAGAGGTAGCTGAGACTTCCACATCTGGATCTGCAGGCAGCAGGAAGAGAGACAGACAGACAGACAGACTCTAGGCTTTGCATGGGCTTTTGAAACCTCCAAGCCCACTCCCAGTGACACATTTCCTCCAGTAAGACCACACTTTCTAATCCTTTCAAATATCGCCACTCCCTGTTGACCAAGTATTCAACTCTGTGAATATGTATGGGGGCCACCACGGGCTGTATATGTAGAGAGTTGGTACATCAACATTTGTTGAGACCCTATTATGCTGTTATACTAGGCACCAAGAAAGCCAAGCCAAGCTATACTTTTACTTTTATTTTTATTTATTTATTTTTCCTTTGCCAACTCTCAAATGCGCAAACATATATATTGCTTAAAAAAATCTAACCTGTGTAAAATGTAATTTTTTTAATATTACAGTAGATCAATAAATGTTGATTGAATTATTGATGTTTATTGAATTGTTGACTCAATTGAAATATGATTTATATAGTTTTTCTTTCTCTTTTAAGCACTTCTGAGTATCTGACTACTCCTAGAATTATTGGGATTCTAATTGGCTAAAACTAGTTTGATCTCAAAAGACTGAGGCTAATAGCTTCTGCCATGTACTATTTATGTGATTTTAAGAAATTGACTTTTTTCTTAAATTTTTTTTTAATTTTTATTTTTTTAAGACAGGGTTTCTTTGTGTCCCAGACTTGCTTTGTAGACCAAGCTGGCCTTGAACTCACAGAGATCCACCTGCCTCTGCCTCCCCAAGTGCTGGGATTACAGACACAAGCGTGACTCAATTACTTAACATGTTTGAACTTTGATTCTTTAGGGAATTTTTTTTTTTTTACATTTAATTTGTATGTTTGTGTGTGCAATGGTTTGCATAGGAAAGTCAAGAGGGCCACTTGTCTCCCGTTCTACCATGTGAGGACTGACTTAGGTGGTTGGGCTTGTCAGCAATCCCCCCACCCCAGCTAAGTCATCTCTCAGACTCTGAACCTCGGTTTGTTTTTTTTTTAAATAAAAGGTAAGAGTACTTATCTGCATTTACATTGTCTTCATCATAATTTTGTTTAAGATTGATGTATGTGTGTGTGCTCGAGAGAGGTGGGGAGCGAGAGGGGGAGATGGAGAAAGGTGAGAGGGTGGGAGATGGGGGAGAGGGAAATGGAGAGGAGAAGAGGGGGAAAAGAAAGCCCTTTGAAAACTAAAAGGTGCAGGTAAGGTACTGAAATTATCAGCTCTTTCTTCTTCAGGGTAAATATTCTGTATGGATTAGAATATGCTTAGTATTTTTTTTTTTTATGTTTCTTCTTCAGTAATTTAGTTTCCTTTATGAATGAAGATTTACATACTATACTTGTGGAAGTATAATTCATGCAAATTCTTTTTTTATATAATTTATTTAATGTTATGCTCATTGGTGTGAAGGTGTCAAAGGCCCTGGAAATGGAGTTAGAGACAGTTGTGAGCTGCCATGTGGGAACTGAACTCAGGTCATTTGGAAGAGTAGCCAGTGCTCTTAACCACTGGGCCATCTCTCAGGGCCCCAATTCATGCAAACTCTAATGTGTGCTTTATTCTTCAGCTTTCGTACCATTGGCAGTACTAAGTAAACCTCACCTGACACTGCAAACATTTTTATGACAGTTCTTTACATAGTTTTGAAGTGTTTTATTTCTAATACTTGAAGTGTAGCGTGTCTTTTTGAAAATTTATTTGGATCCTAGGAGGTGCACTAGTGAGGGTTGCATGCCCTCCCTATTTTATCCCACAAAGACGCAGTCTCACTTTGTTGAGACTAGTCTTGAACTCAGCTTACAGGCCAGGTTGAGCTCAAACTTGAGCTCCTCCTGCCTCAACATTCTGTGTGCTAGGATTACAGATATGGGCTAAATACTCTGCCCTGCTCCCTATAGTATTTAGAAAGACTTAGTATTTCTAGAAATGAAAGAATTGATGTTAGGAATATGTGTATATAAAAAATCTTGTTGATGTTGCTCTTGTTGGGAAATTGAGAAGCCTATGGTTATAATTATTGAAGGCTACTAGGATGTGAAGTTAATAATAAATGAATAACAAAATACCTCATCTGCACCATATTTAAACCTCCAAATATGCCTTGCTGTACATTGAACTCAAGACACATAGTGTAAATTGATATCAGATTGACAGATAATATTGATTTTTTGCCATGCAGATATTTTATTAGCCATGGAGCCAGTGTGGGTATTGTGAACAGTGAAGGTGAAGTTCCTTCTGACCTTGCAGAAGAACCAGCCATGAAAGATCTTCTTCTGGAACAAGTAAAGAAGCAAGGTAACCCAGGAGACTGGGGGAGGGGGTGGTAGCAGAGGCCATCACACTGCCCCTTACAGAACGTGATCCCTCTTCATTATCATGTGACAGGACAGGATTAAATCTGTCTGCGCAGCATTAGTCATCAACTACCAGTGCCATGTATCCTCTTACTAACTTACACAAGCCTAGGCCAAATGCCCAAAGGGTGTCTAGGCCTTCCATGTCTTTGCTATTCTAAGGTTGTGTACCTGTAGTTAGGAGTGACCTGAGGAAGACTGTGGACTGTTCTTTGTGTGTGTGTGTGTGTGTGTGTGTGTGTGTGTGTGTGTGTGTGTGTGAACACTATATTATCTCTGTTGCACAGGATAGCTTGAAGAAAGGCTCAAATAGAGTATGGCCAAATCCATTTTGTAACTTTGTGTCCTTGGAAGCTATTAAAACCTCTGAAAGGATCTTTAGTCATAGTAACTAGTGTCACTGTTCTGATATTTTTAAGAGACAGGATCTTTTTACTTCTTACCCCAATGTGCCCTAGAGCTTGGACTGTCCTCAGACTTGCAGCAATCCTCCTGCCTCTGCCTCCCTATGTTGAGATTATAGGTGTGAGTCACCTATAATCCATGCCTGGTTCTAGTAGTTTCCTGAGGTAAGAAATTAACTTGGAAGAATACATTCTGCAATTGTGTATTCCTATTTTGTAGTTTTAGAAGAAACTCATTTCAGAGAAAGGGTGGGGCTCTCCTATTAGACACCTCAAAGTCATCTTGTTTTGTTTGCCCAGGCTTTTCATGGACAGCTAGTTCAAATCTTCTTTCATCCAATATTACAGGCATGTACCACCACACCTAGCTTTTGAATTCTTTCATTTTAGAGTAATTGATTAACTATGGACAGCAGGTCTTGGATTCTGTTAAAACTGTTATGAAACTCCAATGGGATCTGTAGCAGGTGGAGAAAAGGGAGGCTCTTCTAAACAACCAAAGTTATTTCCAAAGCTTTAATCGTATGCCAAGCCTGCCTTAAGTGATGGGTAGTCTAGGTCATGCTATTACTGAAGTTCATATTTGGTTTTGTGCTTTATTGAATTAAAAATTTTATGCTAATTTATCCTCCTACCTCACTCATTTTATCGCTTAAAATGTTTTTTTAATGATTTATTTATTTTGTGTATATGGATGTTTTGTCTGCATGTACATCTGCACCCCAGAAGAGGGCATCAGATCCCATAGAACTACAGTAATAGATGGTTTTGAGTTGCCATGTGGGTGCTGGGAATTGAACTAAGCACCTGTAGAAGAGCAGCCAGTGCTCTTAATTGCTGGGCCATCTCTACAACCCCCAATCATCTCCTAAAATGTCTTACAATTTGCAAATGTAAAAGTAAGTCTCAGTTTGAAAACCTACTCTTACTTCGATTTAACTCTTCCTTAAATGCTTTTTTGAAACAATCATTTATATTATGCTTCACCTCATGGCATTGGTAACTCTTACTTTGTCTAGGAGGCTTTCTCTTCACCCTATGTGTTTCCCCATACCAGATAGATGATTCTTCAGCAGTTCTTGTTTTCTTATTTAAGAGCCAAAAAGAAAATTAAAAGCACAGATATAGTTTGCTTATGAATATAAAACCTTTTGAATAGTTGTGTCTATGTTCAGAACATTTCATTATTTTGTATAATGAAGAATGTCCTTTTTTTTTTTAATTTATTGGTTTTTCAAGATTGGGTTTTTTGTGTAGCTTTGGCTGCCCTGGAACTTGCTCTGTAGATCAGGCTGGCCTTGAACTCAGAGATCTGCCTTCCAAGTGCTGGGATTAAAGGCTTACACCACCACTGCCCAGCTAAGAGTTTGGTTGTTTTTTTTTTTTAAACACCAAATCTATATTTACATTTACATATAAATAACATAACTTTAAGCTGAAATATATCATAAATAAAGCATGTTTACTATTTGACAACTTAAATATCAGCAATTAAAATAAATCAAACTGGAATGAAATAAATACATTAACAAAAATCCAACAAATTGAACCTCTTATCACATTTACTGTTGTCCCTCTTATCACATGTACTGTTGCTTCAAAGGGAATGACACACAAAGCAGTTGTATCCCAAGAGTTAATACTGATGGCAAGAACACACTGTGAAGTACAAAGGGCTGTTGAAAAACAGACCACAACACAACAGAACAAAACAAAACAAAAAAAAAAACAAAACCCTGGAATTCTTATGCACCCAGAAATTGTAGCTAGAGAAATCTGAAAGCCCCCCAAATTTTAGCATTACATACATTGACTTGTTTTCTAATAGATTTGGTGAGTTTTTTAAAATATAGGTTTAATTTTTGCCTGTATTTTAATAAACTCTGCCCACACGATTTGTATGTATCGTCCTTACAAGCTTCCTGTACACTTGCTGGATTAGGCAAAGATCTAGTCAGTTATCTTGCAAATGTGTTGGTCTTCAAAAACAGAGTGTCCTTTCTTAAGGTCCTTCTTTACTGGCCTAGATATTGGAGAGTTGATAGCTAAATGGAAAAACTCTTAGAGTATCTTCATATAATTGATTATAAGGGAAACAAAGTCTACATTGCCTTAATAACAGACTATAGTGTTGGCTTCAAACCACTTACTAATCTCTGGATTGTTCTTGGAGCTTCAGGGAAGTATGTACAAGTGCACATGGAAATAAACTTTAAAAGGAGTTCTCTTTTCTGCAGTCTATCACACTATCATGCCTGAAATGGAGACTTTTGATAGTAATCTTGTGATATAATAAGTGGGAGAGAAGAGAGCCAAGAACACTGTGCACTTCCAATGGCAGCTCTGCCACTCATGTGTTTGGGGCCATATGCAAAGCACCCAGCCCTTCTCTGCTTAGTTCCTCATATGGCAAGTGAGGCTAGTAATAGATACTATAGTTACCCAAAGGATTGTTTGGGAACTAATATCATATAACATGTTAAAGGACTTTGCCATTTATAGCTTCATACGAATATTGTAAAGTAAAAACTATCTCGTCTGATTTTTATGTTCTGTTGAAACAATGTTAGGTGTGTACGCTTCATGAATGTGCACCACATAGTGTTTAGCCTGGCTTATTTGCCCTTGGTAATTTTGTAATACAAATGGCATTGCTTTAAACTTGAAGAATTACCAACTTGATGAGATTTATTTGTGCTAATATTTGTATGTTTTGAATCTAATGAAAATATTCTGTCAGACTTGGGTGGAGCTTTAGTAACACTGCTGTTTTGTGTCTGGCTTCTGTAGGAGTTGATCTAGAGCAGTCAAGAAAGGAAGAAGAACAACAGATGCTACAGGATGCACGCCAATGGCTCAACAGCGGGAAAATAGAAGATGTGAGGCAGGCTCGCTCAGGGGCCACAGCCCTGCATGTAGCTGCTGCAAAGGGTTACTCTGAAGTCCTCAGGTATGGAACTGGGTACTGGGAAAAGATGAGATGAGTTCTAGAAGCAGAAATTTTTAACTGTTGTGTATTTTCTTGTTGGTTTTCTCTTGCCCTGTAAAATTGCCTCATATTTCCCTGGTGTTCCTTCATCGGTGGTCTCACTTCCTCTCTTATTGTCCCTCTACCTCAGGTGTATGATGTTAGGTAGACTTGAAGTCCATAGACACAGGAAGACATCTTTCAGTTCTCTGAGTTGTCATTGGCTCTCCAGAAACCTATTCTTCTGACTATACAGACCTGTGACCCTTCTGGTTCTATGATTTAAAGAATTTCTGGGCTCATTACATCAATTATAGATCTTGAGTATGCAATATCCAGCTTTCATAAGAGAATTAGATGCGAGTGTGTGTGTGTGTGTGTGTGTGTGTGTGTGTGTGTGTGTGTGTCAAACCTGATGACCTAAGTTCAATCCCATACATGGTAGAAAGAGAGAACTGATTGCTCCAAGTTGTTCTCCTCCCTCCACTTGCTCACAGTGGCATGCATGTACCCACATTCACCACCACACACACATGCACACCAAATAAATCAACTTAAAAGGTAACTTAAACAAACAAACAAATAAATAAATAGAGAGTTAGACTCTACTGTTTTACCTGTTTCACTTTTCTTATATTTGTGCTTTATGTGGCTTTGGTGATTACTGTTGACAAGATTTCAGAATACAGGGGTTGCTAATGGCACTGTATTTACAGTTGTTGCTAGACTCTCTGAGTGTTCACACTCTACCTAATATGGCCTTTCTAGCAGGTATGACAGTATGTAAGTGTTCTTTCTATATCTGCCCTAAACATGCTAGTCATATGTTGCTCAATTCTTGAAAGGATAACAGTACAATTTGAACTTTAAGAATCATATATTTCAGGCTGGAAAGATGACTCAGAGATTAAGAGCACTGGCTGTTCTTCCAGAGGTCCTGAATTCAATTCCCAGTAACTATATTGTGGCTTACAACCATCTATAATGAGGTCTAGTGCCTTCTTCTGGCATGCAGGCATACATGTAGTAAGAGCATTGTATACATAATAAATGAATCTTGAAAAAAAGCTACTTAAAAAAAAGAATCATATATTTCTTCTTGTATAATACAGATGCAAGTTAGACTGTGGCTTTTAGCCAGCTAGAACCCTCTGTGGGTAATTTTAGAATCTGAGGTAAGGGATTCTACAGAAAACAGTCATGTCCTATAAAGGTCACCTTAAAAGCTCATTGGTATTCTAGAGATATTTGTGTCTTCATTTTCATATACGAATTCCTTTCTGAACTGGAAAATGCAAAGTATACTCTGTAACAGAGTTGTGTAATTTGGCTAATTGGATTAGTTTTAGTTAATCGTAGGTACAAACTGGTCTATGTATTCCTTTTGTATGGTATGTGTTCTAGTTGCTTTCTGTTGCTGTGACAAACACCATGACTAAAGCAGTCTTAGGGAGGAAAAGGCTTATTGGCTTATATAGCTTGAAAGGAGTTCATCGCTGAGGCAAGAACTCAAGCAGGAGCAGAGGCAGAAGCCATGGAGGAAAGCTCTTTACTGACTTACTTCTCTAGCTTGCTCAGCTGCTTCGCTTATATATTCAGCCCTACCCATCTTAGGGATGTCACTGCCCACAGTGGGCAGGGCACACCCACCATCATTAACAATTAAGAAAATGCTCCATAAACATGCTCACAAACCAATCTGGTAGAGGCAATTCTTTAGTTGAAGTCTGTCTTCCTAGTTTGTTTCAAGTTGACAAAAACTAACAGCACAGTGTAGCATGAATATGTGAAGGGAATACCATATGTATAACCTCATGAAAAGGTTCAGTAAAGGTTGTAATTGGTGTTCAACACAGTAATATGGATTTCAGGCTACTCCTTAGAGGAAAGAAGGAACACAGGATGTCTGGAGGTTAGCCCACACCTGAAGTTTTATTGGAGTGATAGCTTGTTTGATGGAAAACTATAAAATAAAGGCCATAAATGTAGTTTTTGGGTTTCCTTCCAGACTTCTAATTCAGGCTGGCTATGAACTCAATGTTCAGGATCATGATGGCTGGACTCCTCTTCATGCTGCTGCACACTGGGGAGTAAAAGAGGCTTGTTCCATCCTGGCAGAAGCACTCTGTGACATGGATATCCGGAACAAACTGGTTAGTGAGCCTGAACCTCAAAAGGGCAATGAGATGAGGTGGCTGGATGCCCAGGATAGGCTAAAGTCTCTGTACCATATCCAGCTGGCTGCACTGGTAGCTGTATCGTCCTCTACCTCCTTGACCTGCTGCTTATTATCAATGTAAAAGTACATTTAATGGCAAAGTAAAATAAAACTCCATCAACGAGGTCATCTGCTTCTACTTGTGTTGAAGACCCTAAAACAAAAAGATATGAAAAAAAGATATCTGCTCTTGACCACAAATGAACTTTGAGAAATCCAAGGTCCCTGTCTATGGTGAGGTATGAAATAGTTTACTAATTTTCAACTCAGTCTTTTAACAGCTGAGATCTCTACACATGGAGTTCTTTTCTTTTTTTTTAACCTTTTTTTTTTCTTTTTTCTTTTTATTAATTACACTTTATTCACTTTGTATCTCCTCATAAGCCCCACCCTACTCCCCCTTCTTCATATATGCCCCTCCCCAAGTCCACTGATAGGGGAGGTCCTCCTCTCCTTCCTTCTGATCTTAGTCTGTCAGATCTCTTCAGGAGTGGCTGCATTGTCATCTTCTGTGGCCTGGTAAGGGGGTGATCAAAGAGCAGGCCAATCAGATTATGTCAGAGGCAGTCCCTCTTCCCATTACTATGTAACCCACTTGGACACTAAACTGCCATGGGCTACATCTGTGCAGGGGTTCTAGGTTATCTCCATGCATGGTACTTGGTTGGAGTATGAGTCTCTGGGAAGACCCCTGTGTTCAAATTTTCTGGTTCTGTTGATCTCCTTGTAGAGTTCCTGTCCTCTCCAGCTCTTACTATTTCCCACTTCTTACATAAGATTCCATGCACTCTGCCTAACAGTTGGCCATAAGTCTCAGTGTCTGCTTTGATAGTCTGCAGGGCAGAGCCTTTCAGAGGCCCTCTGTGGTAGGTTCCTAGCTTGTTTCCTGTTTTCTTCTTCTTCTGATGTCCTTCCTCTTTGCCTTTCGGGTTGGGGATTGAGCATTTTAGTCAGGGTCCTCTCTCTTGATTAGTTTCTTTACATGTACAGATTTTAGTAGGTTTATCCTATATTACATGTCTATATGAGTGAGTATATACCGTGTACGTCTTTCTGCTTCTGGGACAGCTCACTCAGGATGATCCTTTCCAGGTCCCACCATTTATCTGCAAATTTCATGATTTCCTTATTTTTCATTGCTGAGTAGTATTCCATTGTGTAGATGTACAATTTCTGCATCCATTACTCCACTGAGGGGCATCTGGGCTGTTTCCAGCTTCTGGCTATTACAAATAAAGCTGCTACAAACTTGGTTAAGCAAATGTCCTTATTGTGTACTTGAGCCTCTTTTGGATATATGCCTAGGAGTGGTATGGCTGGATCTTGAGGAAGCGCTATTTCTAGTTGTCTGAGAAAGCGCCAGATTGATTTCTAGAGTGGTTGTACAAGTGTACATTCCCACCAGCAGTGGAGAAGGGTTCCCCTTTCTCCACAGCCTCTCCAGCATGTGTTGTCACTTGAGTTTTTGATCTTGGCCATTCTGATGGGTGTAAGGTGAAATCTCAGGGTTGTTTTGATTTGCATTTCCCTAATGGCTAATGAGGTTGAGCATCTCTTTAAGTGTTTCTCTGCCATTCGATATTCCTCTACAGAGAATTCTGTTTAGCTCTGTTCCCCATTTTTTAATTGGATTACTTGGTTTTGCTGCTTTTCAGCTTCTGTAATGGCAGTGATTGTTCATTGACTAAAAGCAGTCTTACCAGCCTCACTTCAAACAACTTACAACCCTGGGACTCTTACCCTATATTGCTTGATTTTCTAGAATTCAGACACATGGTCTTGTCTTTCTCACATAACTCCTGAATCCAGGACTCATTCTTAGACTGTACAGAGTATGTAATTGTACTGGTATTTTTTTTTTAAAGAAATAACTTACCTGTCTCCCTTCTCTTCCTTAAAGGGAAATCATTCCTATTAGTCTTCAGTGTGGGTATGGCCCAGACTTTCCTTCAAGGTTTTAAAGAGCACTTACTGTATTTATCATCATAATAATACTTTAGAACAGGTATAAATATGAATTCCCCTAGATTGTTTGTCAAGAGGCCATAAGATTAGAAATAGTGCAGTGATTTTCTCTCTACTGTTTTGCATGACAGAACTCAGTGTTTGAAGGATTGGCTGTTCCTTAAAGTAGCTCCTAAGTGACTCATGAAGGCATCTCAATGTAGGTTAGAGAGGCAACTGTAGTTTGGGCGTCTCCAGCCCAACTCTGAAATCTGAAATGTTCGTAATCTCAGACTTTGTGTACACTGATTTGATGCCCTAAGTAGAAAATTCCAGACCGTGAAAGCATAAAAATATTTAAAATATTATAAGAAATTATCATTGAGCTATATGTGTATGATATATGTGAAACATAAATGAATTTTGTATTTATACGTAAGTCCTAGTCTCAAGAAGCCTCAATACATATGTATGTATTTATGTACATATATGCATATATTCTAAAATCAAAAGCTCTTCTAGTCCTAAGCATTTTGGACAAAGGAGATTCAGTTTGCATCAGAGGAATAAAGTCAGGATGTAAATAATGAATAGTCCCTGATGAAGTCACATGATTGCTGCTTCTCTTTTCTATGTGTCATGGTGTCCCTTTGTCCTGCTAGGGCCAGACGCCATTTGATGTGGCTGATGAAGGTCTTGTAGAGCATTTGGAGATGCTTCAGAAGAAGCAAAATGTGGTAAGTGTGGTTGATGCTTTCACAGCTTTCCTAGCAGTTTATAGTCTACGCTGGGTGTCTCAGTCACTTCCTTCAGTGTCTTTTTTGTTCAGAGTTGAACTGGATGTATTGCATTTCACAGATGTTATTTGTTCCCTATAGAAACTATCAACAGTCTGCTTGAAAAAAAAAAAACAAAACAAAACCAAAAACATGTTGTAAAAGGCTACTTATCATAAAATAGTCTTCAGGCAGCTAACGGTCAATTACAGAGAAGACTGTATTTCTTCTTTTTTCTTTTTATTTTATTTTATTTTTTCAAAAAAGGGTTTATCTGTTTAACAGCCCTACCTGTCCTGAAACTCACTATGTAGACCATGCTGGCCTCAAACTCAGAGATCTGCCTGCCTCTGCCTCCCAAATGCTGGGATTAAACACACGTAACAAGTAACACAAGTAACACAGCTGTATTACTTTCTCAATGAGGTAATACTGCTGTTGTCACATGGTGTTGGACAGCACTTGGTTAGCAGTGGTTCATAGGTATTTCAGATGGCTAAAACATCCAGAATTCAGTCCTCTCTCTCCTCCTTACTTTAAAACCTTCATTGATTCCATCTGCCTTTCTGCTTGGTGCTCTGCAGAAGGGCTACATACATGAGTGGAAGCCACCCATTGGTAAAGAGTAACCAACTCAGATATTCTGCCAGTGAGTCATTTGGACAGGGGAATAAAATTAGTATAGGACAGAAAAAAAATCACTGGCTTTCTTTTGTTTTAGTTTTTCCATTTGCATATAGTGCAGAGTATGGGGAACTTAAGTTTAGGACAAACACAGAAAATAGAGTGGATTTAGATTCAGAATAATATAACTCAGTGATGTAACAGATCAGTATATCTGGCATGCGGAGTGTTTGGCATCATATCTGGACTGTTGAAGCAGAATTCTTGTTACTTTAGGCTCAGTTAGAAAGCTACATACATGAAGTTCAGACAGACAACTTATGGTTCATATATTTTCTTCGATGAATATTCAGAATCACTTGAGTGGTAGGACAGTCCAAATGCTATTTCCTATTAGCTATTAGCTGCATACTATTAGCAGCAGCAGCCTTTCTTAGGCTAGAGCTTTATTTTACATAGTTAAGTTTTTGTGTTTTTGTAAAATCTTGTCCCCTGAAGTAATTTTTAGATTCACATAAAATTGCAAACATACATGCCCTTAAACATAATTGGGTTTGGAGCATAAATGTTATCCCCCCACAATCATTTGAATTCACTTCTGGGCCTCCAGGCTAGTCTGAACTTGCAGTCCTTCTGCCTGAGCCTCCCTAGTGACCAATATGATGGGTTTGCACACCCAGGCCCAGCTTCACGACATGACCTTATTGTACTAAGGGGGACAGTGTTTGTCTTTGTCCTCTGCCTCACTTTAGGATCCAAAGATATAAGTGTTTTTTGTTTGGAGGATAGAGACCATTTCCCCCTAAGGGCTTATTTCTCTTTCATTTCTTTAGAGTTACTGCCAACTTATTTTGGTGTGTGGATCATAAAGAATTCTTCCTTCCTTTTGGGTCTTTCTTTATTCCTTAGAAGCTAGACTTTTTTTTTTTCCCCCTTATTAAGGTTTGATTTGGGATATCGAAGGGACAGTTTTCTTGAATCTCTATCACCATGTTTTCTCTTCTACTTTGGATAAAGAGTTTTCTCTGTTACTTTCTTCCAAGGAGAAGGTGGTGCACATGGTGATAATGCATTCATCTTTTTTTTCTTTTGATTCCATTCTCCCTCTTTGGTTTTTGTCCTGTTTTTTTTTATTATTATTATTATTATTTTTTTTCAGAATGATGGTACCATTTTGGCACTTCTTAATAATATTGGCTTTTCACAAATTGCCAACTTGTCCCCTTTCCTCTCTTACTTTCTGAATTTCTAGCTTCGAAGTGAAAAGGAGACACAGAATAAGCTCATTGAATCAGACCTAAATAGCAAGTTTCAGAGTGGACTCTTCAAGAAGTAAGATACAAGTTTACTTGTATGTAAGGAATGAGATGAGCTTGATGCTGTGTGTGTGTATGCATGCATATGCACGTCCACACAGATCTGTGTGTTGTTTGAGAGTTTTTATATTAAAATGATTCTGTGTTTGATTTCAGTCAAATGATCTTCAAAAGGGGAAATGTTTGTGGACAAGAGGAGATAGCACTGATATTGCAGCACTAAAGATGAATGAATATGCTTTATAGTGAAAAACTATTGGCAGCATCTCTTCTAGCCTAGCCTGGGAGTTCTCAGTCCTGTCTTATTATACAGAGTATTTCCTCAGCTCAGGAATTGGTCTCTTTGTTTACCACTGTTTCAGTGCCTAGCAAGGTTTGTGGATGTAATAAAACTCAGTGAAGATCTGTTTAATGATTTTTTTAAAAAAATATCTGCTCTTTGACCATTTCTTCCTGTTATTCATGGTTCTCTTATCTGTGTGTTGAATAGACAGAGTCTCCTTGAGTCATACTCTAAAGTCAATAATAAGCCTGAGGCTGTTGAAAAGCCAAGGGTCTAAGAGAACACACACATACAAGAAGGATTTTCATGCTTTTGCTGTTTTTTCTACATACAGATTTATAGATTTGTTTTCTTTATTATGCCTGATTGTCAGTGAGCTTAAATGGTTTGTCAATTCAGCTTTCAAATTGTGCCTTTCATTTAGCAAAGAGAAGATGCTTTATGAGGAAGAGATCCCCAAGTCCCAAGAAACAGAGGAAGAAAATAAAGAATCCAGCAGCTCCAGCTCAGAGGAAGAGGAAGGGGAAGATGAAGTTTCTGAATCAGAAACTGAGAAGGAGGCAGGTAAGGCAGAGACCCCTCATGTCTATTGCCTGTCAGAATCTGGTCAGGCCTCACAGGCTTCCAGAAGAACTTGAAGTAGTTCCCAAGAGATTGGATTTCTAAGGACAATGTGCTTATCAAAGCCTTGAGCTCAGTTAAAATATACCTGCCAGTTCTGATGCAGCCATACGGTAATGTGTATAGAGAAATCTTGCACTAAGAACCATGTCTTGCCCTTAGGTCGATAGGTCAGCCATAGAGACTAGATTCCAAGAAGCCAGTGTGCTGAGAGACATGGGACTTATAGAGACTTTAGATTAAGTATTTTCAACACACTGGTAGAAATTTGCATTTAGTTATTATATGATTCTGATTCTGTAAACTGAATCCTAATTTTTTTCTTATTTTGTAAAGCTTCATCAGTTCCCGAGTGAAGGAATTAATGAAAGAACAAATCAGATTTACTTTTATTACTCTCATTAATAATATATACAATTTTTTTTCATGACCATGGGAGATTAACTCAGAAGATAACTAAAATCTTTAGATGCACAAGTCTCTTATATATGTTGCTACATCGTTTGCATCGAATCTGCGTACACTTGCCTGTGTACTCCAGACTGTTTCTCTGCTGCTTATATTACCTGGTACAGTGTAAATCATTTGTATACTGTACTGCTTAGGGATTGATAAAAATGTAAGAACACAGATCTGAAAAAGAAAAAAAAAAATCTGTATATACTTAGCACAAGTACAAGGTCATGGTTTTTTGTTTCCCAGTATTTTCAGTTCATGGTAAGTTGAAGGACTGAGGCTGTATCTCAGTTGTTTGGCTTTGTTGATAGTTTCTCTCAGTCATGAGAGAATACTGCCCTTCTTAATCTGAAGTTCATTGACTGTCACCAAAGGAAGTTAGAGGCCATTAGTTTTATAGAGAAGGCAGGCAGTTTTCAGGAAAGGGGAATTGACTTTATATTTATGGGGCCTTCGATCTCCATCAGATTATTTTATTTTATTGTTTTTATGAATATGGTACTTTGGATGTGTGTCTGTGCACCATGTGCTTGCAGTACCTGTGGATGGCAGAAGACAGCATTGGATTCCCTGGCACTGGAGTCACAGATGGCTGTGAATGCCATGTGGGAGCTAGAAATGGAACCCAGATTCTCTGGAAGAGCAACTAGTACTCTTGACTGCTTATCCATCTCTGTAGCCTCTTAAAATTTAAAAAAAAAAAAAAAAAAAAAAATATATATATATATATATATTTAATCATTTGTAGCTTGTTCTGGAAAAGCTTGTATTACATCCACCAAAAAAACTACAAATGTCTATATTTTGTTATTTGCATTATTTACTGAGTAGCCTCACAGTTTAGCCTTTACACAGTATTTGGAATTCATATTTGGGCTTGCTCTATGCTACATTTTTGTTGTTGTTGTTACCCACTATTATCTTAGAAAAATGGGAGAAAGCTACCAAAACTGCTGCTATTGCTTCATGATTTGTACCACTGCCTCAGGTCTTATTCCTTTCAGACTGTGTTGGTTTGAGTTACTACCATGCTAAACACCATGGCCAAAAGCAAGTTGGGGAGAAAAGAGTTTATTTGGCATATGCTTCCACATCCATAGTCCATCTCTGAAGGATGTCAGGACAGGAACTCAAACAGGGTGAGAAACTCGACTCAAGAGCTGATGCAGAGGCTCTGAAGGGGTACTGTTTACTGGCTTGCTCCCTCTGCTGACTCAGCCTGCTTCCTTATAGAAATTAGGACTAGGAGATGGTGCCACTCAACAATGGGCTGGGTCTTCCCCCCAATCACTAGCTTAAAAAATGCACAACAGTTTTGCATTTTTAGGCTTGCCTATAGCATGATCTTAGGGAGGCATTTTCTTTTTTCTTTTCCTTTTTTTTTTTTATTCCCCTGAAGTTCTGTGTAGTCCTGGCTATCCTGGAATTCACTCTGTAGACCAGACTGGCCTCAAACTCACAGAGATAGCCTCCCTCTGCCTCCCAAATGCTAGGATTAAAGATGTATACTACCACTGCCTGGAAAGAAAATGTCTGGAGTCATTTTCTGTCTTTTTAAAATTTTTATTTTATTTAATTTTATTTACTTTACATCCCAAGGTTTCCCCCTTTCTCCTCTCCTCCCAGTTCCCCATTCCCCTCTTTTCCCTTTATACTTTCCCTTTTACCCCAAGAAAAGGGGAGCCTGCCTCCCCCCCCCCCATGCCAACCCTCCCCCACACATCAAGTCACATCAGGACTGAGTATATCCTCATCCACTGAGGCCAGGCAAGGCAGCCCTGCAAGAGGGAACTGATCCAAAAGCAGGCAATAGAGTCAATGTTAGAAACCATTCCCCCCTCCACTCGCCAGGTGACCCATGTGAAGACCAAGCCACCCTTTGGCCATATATGTGCAGGGGCCTAGGTCCAGACCATGCATGCTCATTAGTTGATGTCTCAGTTTCTGTAAGCCCCTGTGGGTCTGGATAATTGTCTCTGTTGGTCTTCTTGTGGGGAGACATTTTCTTAATTAAGGTTCCTTCCTTTCAGATGACTTTAGTTTGCATTAAGTTTGACATAAAACTATCCAGCACACGGACCATATGTATACTGCTATTGAAATAAAATATTGACAGCACCCTTATAATCAAAGTTTACTTCTGTTCAGAAATCTTCTATGGCTAGCTCCCTCATTCCATCTTTGTCTGCAGAGTAAGTCCCAGACCCTTTAGCCTAGCCTGCAAGGTCTCCAATAGTCTAGCTCCAACAGACATTTTCAATGCTCTACATAGGCAAGAACATACTGTAGCTAAATTGAATTGCTTGGTTTTCTCAAACATTACCTCAGCATTCCTGGCAGTGAATGTTTAATTTTGCCTTTTAATTCATTTCAAACCATCATAAATACTTGTTCGTTGAGTTCTTTTAGACAGTGTAGGAGCTCGAAGAGTGAAGTGTTTTTCTGATACAAAAAGTTAAAACAGTTGGATCCTGAATTATCTTTTATACTGCAGTGACGAATACCTGAGATGAACTTTTTAAGGGGAGGGAAGATTTATTTTGGCTCATGGTCTCAGTCCACAGTCAGCTGGCTCAATGTTTTAGAACTGTGGTTAAGCAGACTATCATGGTATAGGATGGATGTGGTAGAACAGAGCTGCTCGTGTCATAACAGCTGGGAAGTAGACAGGAAAGGGTCAGAAACAAGATACTCACAGTGACATGCTCACCTCCTACCATATCCTAAGAATGCTACTAGATTATCAGTCTGTCAATGCATATCCATCAGTGAAGTCAGAGCCTGATGGTCCAGTCGCCTCTCAGTGAGTGTGTATACTAAGTAGGGACTGAGTCTTCAATATTTGAGCCTAGACCTGTGACAGTTATTCTTGTCAACTTGATAGGATCTAGAGTCACTTTGGAGACATTTCTGGTTATGTCTGTGAAGAACTTTCTATATTAGATTATAACTGAGATGAGAAGATGCACCATAAATTTGGGTAGCACTCTTCTGCAGGTTGGGTTCCCAAACTACATTAAAAGAAAAAAAAAAAAAAAAACAGGCTAGCTGAGCACAAGCATTTGTCTGATTGTGAACGTGATATGGCCAGACATGACGTCTGCTCTTGACACTATACCTTCCTTTCCATGATGGACTGTATATTCTAGAACTGTAAGGCACAATACCACCTTCCTTATGTTTGCTTTTGTCAAGTCTTTTGTTGAGACAAGTAAGTAATACAAGCCCTTTTCTGTTTTCTTACGCTGTGCCTTTTTACTTCGTTTCTATCTCTGTAGTATGGTGCAATTATTTCTGTTCTAGTAGTTACCAGTTTTTCTGAGAACACTGAATTTATTGTTATACTCCCAGTTTCAGCATATGACATCCACTCATATTCACTAAGTGGTTTTGTTGACTGTACCTAGTAGGGGAATAGAAAGCATTATGAGAATAAAACACATGTCATGTGAAAGAAGTAAATGCAGTCTGGTACTCACCAATAGGTAAGATTATGGCTCATTCTGGGAATTATAATATAACTTTACATCTCTATAGTGCTTTGTAAACAGTATTTAATTCCCATAACTATACTTTGGGGCATAAATCATTATCACTCCTATTTTAGGATGAGATATTAACATTTTACAATGTTAGGTGAACTGAGTTTCATAGCTAGCTAGTGGCAATGGCTCACTGGGTGTAGAACTCCTTACAGTCGAAGGGGACAGTGGAAATTTTCTGTATAAGAAGTGAAAGATGAAAACTGTAGAAAATATGGGCTGGAGTGATGGCTCAGAAGTTAAAAGCATTTGCTGCTTTTGAAGAGGACCCAGATTCAGTTCCCAACACCCACAGCTGCAGCTCACAACTGTCTGCAACACCAGTTGTAGGGAATCTGATGCTCTCTTCTGATTCTGTGGGCACCAGGCAGGCATGTGGTACAAATACATATGCAGGCCAAACACTTAAACATATAAAAATGATACTAATAAAGAATTTACTTACAAAACTAAAAAAGTATAAGATTCCCGAGGATGATAGGGAAAAAAAAGAGAGATGTGAGAAAGAATCTCAGGGCATTCTTTCTTTAGAAACTGAAGTGATGTTTGTAAAGGAAACAAAGACATATGACCAAGAGGTTGAAGAAAAGCAGGACGTGTATTTCTGCCTCAGAGAAGCCAGCAGTGGTGAGCAGTCATGAGACAGGAACACACAGTGATGATACAGCAATTAGGAAATCACAGTAATCCTAGAGAGCAGCTTCAGTAGCCTGGCTCAGGCAGAAGCCAGATGGTTCTAGCAAACTCCCCTACTCATTTCTGTAGTTCTTTGCCAACTGAAATTTTACTCATGTCTCAGAGCTCAACTCAAATCAACTTTTGCTGCCTTGCCATGTCGATACATATTTCCCACCTCCCTTGACTTTAGTAGCTATTTGTTTGAAGCTTTTTAATATTAATTTTCTCATGCTACTTAATATTTTTGAACTATTTCTATTTTTTTTCTCCCTCGTTCTGCTGCCCCTGAATTTGAACATTCTTACGTGTCTTCTATATCTTTCTGTGTGCCATATGGCCTTCTGTGTGTAGGTGTTCATTCAATACCTGGTAGAGTGCATGGAAGTGTATTTTTACCTAAGCCTTTTCAAATTTTTTTTTATTTATTACAATTTATTCACTTTGTATCCCAGCTGTAGGTCCTTCCCCCATCCCCTCCAATCCTGCCCTCCCTCCCTCTTCTCCTCCCCCCATGCCTCTTCCCCCGTCCACTGATAGGGGAGGTCTTCCATCCCTTCCATCTGACCCTAGCCTATCACCTGTAATTCTAGCAGTTGGAAGGTAAAAGTAGAAGGATCAGAAGTTCAAGGTCATCCTCAACTACATAATCTTTGATGTCAAACTGAGCTACATAAGACTCTGTCTGGAGGGAAAAGGGAGTTAAGAAAAACAACAACAAAACAACCAAAGGCTATGTGAACTCTATTCTGTGGCTTGATAATTGGAAGGGGATCAGCTGGATAGCTTGCATCTTTCTTATGGCAGTGGTGTGCTTATTCATATTTGTGCCTTCAACTAGTAAAGCATATGAAGTGATAGTTGGTCTTAGATGATTTTGCTCATGTTTCTGGTGGTTGGCTGTGATGTTCAAGAGCAAGTGATTGCTCCTCATCAAGCAGGCCTGCCCCTCTTTCTTCATGTGGCAGCTGGATTCTGAAATTAGTTACAGAGGGCAAGGCTGAGTTTCTCAATTGCTAGTGTTTCAGAGGCCACAGCAAGCCACTTGGCCAAGCCCAGAGTTGATGTGTGAATAAGGCATGAAGGTATGAGTTTAGGAATGATGCATCAGGATCCAGTACTGTAGCAATCTATTTCATTTGGCTAATAAGCTAGATTTCTTGTAGCTTAGAGATATTTAGTACTTAAAGAATGCCTTGATCATTATAGTAACTACCAAATAACAGCATTAATAACATAAAGGGGCTTAAGATAGCCAGTGAGCTATGCTGTTTTAAAATGCTATTTCTAATCTTCATAAAAATTCTCATAATGCAAACATTAAAATCTCTGATTTAAGTCATATATGTAACTTACTATCACACAGTTAGGAGTAGCTTATAATTATCACAGGATCCATGTGGTGTACTGGATCTGTTTTCAGAGCATAAATATCAGAATCATAGCCCTAGGTACAGCCACTGTGCTGGATATTAATTGATATGCAACCAGATTGATGATTCTGCTGGGCTGGAACACTGCTAATTCTGTGAGTCCAGTTACTAAAGTTCTGCAACTTAATCAACATTCTTTGAAATCTTTTCTACTGTTAGGTCCTATTGTAACCCCAAGAATGACTCATTGCTTAAATTAGGCCGTCATTTACTACCAGTGGATGTGTGAATGTGATCACTAAGACATTATTCCTCCTCCACCTGTCTGTCTTTCAGCTTTCAGCTTTCTTATTTTCTTCTTCAGAGACTCTGCCCTTTTTTGAAATCTGTAATACCTGTTGATCTGAATCTATTAAATGATTTTGTATTTTTATTATAATGTGTCTTTTCTTTTTATTGTAATTCCCTATGAAGCAAAGTCAGTCTTATGCATTTTTCTGTTTTTATTTCCTGGTCAACTTCCATATAAAACTGAACAGATTTTTGATAAGGATGAATTTTACATATAATATAAAGACACACACATCAATGCAGAGATAGTTTTTATTGGAATTTGGAGCCTACCAAGATAAGGATATCCTTGAATTTTTTTCTACTGACAATTGTGAGAGTTTGTCCTAGTGTGAGTTCAGACATTCATTCCATTGTCCTAATAATCTGTTTTGATATGGCAAAACTTTTTGTCTTAGTAGAAAAGTATTTATACATAAAAATATAAGATTTTCATATTTATACTTGTTGCTTCTCTTATCTTAAATAACAGATAAAAAGCCAGAAGCCACTGTCAGCCATTCCAACTCTGAAAGCAAGAGTCGTATCATGGAGCAGATCCCAGCCCCAGTTCAGAACACCTTCTGTGCCTCTTCTGCTAGGAGAGTGAGTACTTGGGAATTGATCTGAGGTTATAATTCACTCTACTGCAGTAACACACATTTACAAAGGCCTCAAAGATGCATTTTTGCAAAACAGTAGGAGCACGTGCTTGCCTGTATTAGCCTCTTACACCAAAATACCATAAAGTATGACTTAAAAAATAGGACTTTGCTTCTGAAAGTTTGGAGGGCTGGAAAGTTTCCAGAACAATATGCTAGCCAATTGTTCCTCAAAAGCGCTGTCTTCCTGGCTTAATGATGCCTCCTTCTTGCTGTATCCTAATGTGTAGAAAGAGCACTAGTGTCTCTTTCTGAGAAGGGCACCAGCCCTACCCTGTTGACCTCATTCTACTTTTGTCACTTCCTCAGAGGCCCAGTCTCCAGATGAAGTCATGATGGTTAAGGCTTCAGTAGGAATTTTAGAGGGACACAAAAATTCTGTCTATAACACTGTCCTCCCCATCCTTGGAAGAACAATACCAAACAAATATGGCTACAAATGTGTTACAATAATGGGGATAAAAATATCCTGAGACCGAAAGATTGTGTTTGCCTGTTTTCTTCATATTGAAAATGAAAATAACTGTATACAAAGTAGACTAGGTAGGAAGACATATAGCATTCAGATGGTTTTGATGGCAATTGCTTTTTCTACTTTTCATGAAACTTTAGTGTCCTGGGTAAGGTTGTTGCCCTATATGTTGGGCAAGGGTGGGAGAATAAGTCCTTGTTGAAATGCCAGAGGCACTCCTGCAACATCTATATGTAGGCCTCAAAGAAGCTGTAGCCTTCTGGCAGAGAGAGAGAGTTAATCTGAGGTATTTGGAATGGGCAATTGGGAAAACTCTCTGGCCTTAGAGGTTTTTAACTGGCCACCATAGTGGAAACCAAGCAAAATGTAGCCATAAAAATGTATTTATTTTTAGAAGCATCATTGTGAATCATTAGCCAAGCTTCAGATAGAGTGCCATCCATGCTCACTATACAGCTATTTGCTTGCACCTTAAAGGCTGGTACTAATTCTAGGTGTGACTGCACTTCCTACTTTTTATAAAAGAACAATACCAACTTAAATACAAACACACGTGCCCCCTCTGTTTTGCTAAACTAATACTGGGCAAGGGGAAAGGATTCCCATTAGAGTCATGGTGACTTGTAAAAAGGAAGGAGCTCATATTTAAACGTCCAGATGATTTATGACAAGAGAAAAGAGTGGAAGGTGGATGATGATGAGTGGCTTTTACTCTACTAGTCAGCAAAGATGACCTGGTTTTAGAAGAAAGACCCAAGATTTTTTTATAAAGGTCTCTAGACCCTAAGAAAGGGACTGTTTCCTGGCATCTGAAAGACCCTGGTCTGGTTTCTGGCTAGCTCATGATGTTTCCCCACTTTATTTGTTTCTCTGTTTATGCAGTACTGAGGATTGAACCTGGTATGTATAAGCCTTGTATATGCTAAGCAAGCACTCGACCAGTGAACCATACCACCATCTGGTTTCCCTGCTTTAGATAAAGACCATGTAAAATTGTCCATGACGTGTTTTTGTTTGTTTTTAGTGCTGACGCTACAACTTAATGTCTTGAACAGCCAGACTAGCATAGTACTACTGAGCTGCATCCTGTTGGAAATGTTCTTTTCCTTTTCTGTGGTTTTGAGACAGGGTCTTATGTAGCCATAGGCTGTGCTAGCCTCAATCTTGCTATGTAGCTGAGCCTTACCTTGATCTACCTGCCTTTATCTCCTAAATGCTGAAATTATAGGCATGTGTCACCATGCCCAACTGAACCTTCCTTTTTTGGTATTAAAAATTCTTATTAATGAAATTGTGGTGATGGTGAACTATTGATTTCTTTGAAAGGTGTTCTATCTAGGCAGAATAAGAAAGATGGTTATGTTCTCAGCCCTAAATTTTATCTTTTAAAATTTCCTGCTCAATAAAATTGTCAAACTCTTTGAAATTGATGTTTAATATGAAATACATTATTTTCTTAATATTATAGTTAGATTTTTGTAGAGTCACCACTAGTATTAACTTAACTTGAGTCATCACATGAGAGACCTTGGAACACTCAGCCCTAAATGGGATGTTTCCCTTAAATCCCTCCCCTCATGGCTCAGGGAACCCTGTAGAAGAGGAGGCAGAAAGAATGTAAGAGCCAGAGGGATGGAGGACACCAGGAAAACAAGGTTCTTTTAAATCAATATGATCAAAGCTCATATGAACTCACAGAGACCGAGGCAGCATGCACAGAGCTTGTACTGGTTTGAACAAGGTCCTTTGTGTATATTATGCCAGTTTAGTGTTCTTATGGGATTTCTGAGTGTACAAACTAGTGGGTCTCTTTCTTGTGCCTTCTCTTGGGTCTTCTTATCCTTGTGTTTGTTTTGTCCAATTTTGATATGTTAGTTTTATTTTATTATATTATACTTTATTATGATCTCTTAGGAGCCTGTCTGCTTACCAATGAGAGATAAAAAGAGAGGGAAGGGATCTAGAAAGCAGGAGAGATCAGGAAGAACTTTGAGTAGAGGGAGGGGAAACTGTAATTATGTGAGGAAAAATATCTGTCTTCAATAAGAGGAAATAATTAGTTCATCATGTGAAAGAACATTGCTTTACATATATTTATGCATTAACTCATCCTGTTTCTTCAGACTGGATTGGAGGGAGAGAAGAATTAAGCTCATTACCACAGTTTTACACACAAGCACATTGAGATATAGAGAAGAAAAGTAGCTTATTTTTTAGGTACCCAGCAAGTCAAGAGAAAATGAATGATCAGAATATGGTCTTCTGGTCTCCAGGACAGTATTGGGTCACAAGGACAGCAAAGGGCTTCCATCCTCAGAGCAGGTCTGTGGGTAGGAGCACTGAGAATTGGAATTCTGAAGAAAGAGCATCTAGCCTCTGCTAAGTGAGTGGGCACAGGGGCAGCAAGGCTGCCAGGGGCCTATCCTAGGCTGCTCCACTGAACTTCTCAGGTGGGGAAAAGCAAGTAGGACAATGCAGAATTGAGTACCAGAACTTTTTTCCTTTCCTTTTTTTCTCCTTCATAGTTGTCCAGTCTTTTCAACAAGGCAGAAGAACCCAAAGATGAATCTCCTTCTTCATGGAGACTGGGACTCAGAAAAACTGGCAGTCACAATATGCTGAGTGAAGTGGCCAATTCCAGGGAGGCCTTTCGAGACCGAGGTTCTTCCATCTACCGTTCCTCATCAAGCCCTCGGATTTCTGCTTTATTGGATGACAAAGATAAGGTGTAGTGGGGGGTGGGGTGGGAGGCAAGAACACATGCAGGGCATTCTAAGGCAGTCCTCCTCTGTGAAAATTCAGTCCTGACAACAAATGGAAGTATTTGCTAGTCCCGCAGTTGACTGCAGCAGTAGGACTGTGAAGATGTTTCTTAAGTGAAGGACAAAAGTAATTCCTCATTACAAAAGGATGAGTGTCTTTCTGCTTCTCGGAGAGAGCAACAGAACCAAAATATCTGGGCCCAGGAGTCTTTTCTGAGACTGATACTCCAACCAAGGACCATTCACAGAGATAATCTAGAACTCCTGCACAAATGTAGCCCATGGCAGCTCAGTCTCCAAATGGGTTCCCTAGTAAGAGGAACAGGGACTTTCTCTGACATGAACTCAGTGGTTCCCTCTTTGATCACTTCCCCTGGAGGTTACCAGGCCACAGAGGAAGACAATACAGCCAGTCCTGATGAGACCTGAGAGGCTAGGGTCAGAGGGAAGGGGAGGAGGACCTCCCCTATCAGTGGAATAGGGGGAGGGGCATGGGAGGAAACTAGGGAGGGAGGATTGAGAAGGGAAGAGGGGGGGTGGCTACAGCTGGGATACAAAGTGAATACATTAAAAAGAAAGCAAAATAAAAGGATGAATGGCTTTTGGTATAAGGCATTTGTAAAAATGAGTTGGCCTTGTCACTTTAATAGTTTCATCAAGTAATTTTTTATTTGCTAACATTTTCATGGGCAAAAAAAAAGAAAGCCTTAAAAAGGAGCTTTCTCTATTGGCTTTTTTTGTGTTCATTCTTTCTTACCTAGAGCAAAACAATGAATGCTTCAGAGAAAGTTGAACATGGCCCAAATGGTTCTTTTGAATAAGCACCAGAAAATCTTACTGTTTAGAAGCAAAGTTGAACTTTAATGCAGCTGGATACATTAGCCATAGTGGTTTGTTGCTTGTTAAAAATTAAAACAGGTTGGCCTGGAACTTGCTTGTGTAGCATCGGCCTTCCAAGAGCTGGGATTCCAGCTGTGTACTGCCATGCCCTGCCTTGTAGAACATTTCAACGAGCTATTTTTCTTTTATAGAAATATATGATTAGGCTGGCTTCACAAACAGTTCACCATTATATTCATCAAAGAAGAATTTGGTTTTAGATTTTACTGGGCTCACTTAGTGGCCTTTTCCAGGGTTTTCCGTGTTATCATAGTCCTCTTACTGTCTTGCTTTTCCCAAGACAACTTGAAGGGATGAACGCTAGAAGTTGGGTGTGGTGTATCTGTTGTATGTGTCCCTAAGGAAGATGAATTTCAAGGAAAAAAAATAGCTGGAAACTGAATGAGACTGTTGTATGAAGGACACTATGTAGAGCTGCTTGTGGCTTCTCAGCCTCCTTCTCACTCCTCTCAGAGCTATCCTCTGTATACCTTGTGCTGCTTCCTTCATGGGAGCTCTGTGACTTTCCTCTTGAGAATTATTTTCCTTCATACAAGATTTTGATGAAGGAAAGGTAGGAATAAACTTTGAAAGCTAACCTTTTGTAGTTCCACTTAAAATAAAATTAATGAATCTAGATATGAAAATATGTAACTCTCATAAGTTCTACTTTTCTCTCCTACTTGAGAATTAAGGCAAAATCTGTTCCTTGGCTGGCCCTGAACCAAAATCTTCCTGTTTATACTTCATAAGGCCTGGGAATACATATATACCACTATGCCTAGCAAAATTATGCTTTTTTTTTTTTTTTTTTACCAAAAAATGTTTTATGCTATGTCAGTATTGAACCCTCATTGCATTTTACATGCTTTTATTTTATAGGAAAGAGAAAACAAAAACTATTTTAGTACACTAGCACCCCGGAGACTCAGCAGCACAAGTGACATTGAAGAAAAGGAGAACAGGTAATCAAAACATGCCAGAAGATGATTTCTTTCAGCCCCATAGGGATCTGGCTATTAGTCTTCTGCCTTTTCCAACAGATGTCCTAGGACATTATGGATTGCTTGTCCTGCTCAGAATACCTCCCAGCCTTTACTTTCTATCTGCCAGTTCTTCACCCTTTAAGTTGTAACTTCAGTTTAGACATTACTGTCTGTAGGACCCTGACCCTTCCAAGTCTGAGTTAGTTTTAGTACCCCCGAAAGCTCTCTGAAAGCAATCCATGTCTATTTTGTTTCTCAAGCCACTCTGCCATGCCTAGCATATTGTGTAAAACATAGTAAACATTGAATAGATTGTTTACTTGAAATGATCAGCTTCTAATTTGTAAAGAAGTAAAATTTAATGCCTTCTTCATCAATTAAAATGAATAATGGAGATTTTAAAATGTTGCTACATTTCAAGGCATACCCAAACTAGACCCTTTTTTATGAAGGCATGCTACTCTAACAGGAATCACCTGGAAGCCTGTTGGAACTGGATTTCAGGCCTCAGCTCAGAGCTTCTGAATCAGAATCTGAATTTTAGCAGAATTTCCTAAGTGATTCAGATAAACATTAAAGCCCGAGAGGGATTGTGCTAAGCCTCCAGCAAAGACCCCAAGTTCTTGATTGTGGGTACAAAAAACCTACTACTGCTTCTTCTGGATATTTTCTTACTGTAATGCTAGGGAGGCACTGAGCAGCATGCCTACTTTTTTTCCCCTTTGCATCATTAACTCCTTTGCAACCTGCTACTAGGGATTAGTACAAGGTATTTTTTTAAGAAAGTGTTTTTTTTTTTCAAGTTTTTAAAAAATTTATTTACCTTTATGTGCACTGACGTTTTGCTTGCATGTATCTTTACATGAAAGTGTCAAATCTTGGAGTTATCAACAGTTGTAAGTTGCCATGTGGGTGCTGGGATTTGAACCAGGGTCACTCTGGAAGAAGAGTCAGTACCCTTAACTACTGAGCCATCTCTACAGTCCTACAAGGTACTTCTTAAATAAGAGTCACAAGTGACTCCTCATCACAAAAGGGTGAGGGGTGTTTGTTGTGAGGTGTAACTCGGTACCTGTTGGAATGATAGAATTGATGGAATTGATAGAAGAAAGCCAAAATTAGTATAGGAAACAGGTATAGAAAACAGATCATGCCGGGCGCAGTGGCTCATGCCTGTAATCCCAGCACTTGGGGGAGCTAGAGGCAGGCAGATCTCTGTGAGTTTGAGGCCAGCCTTGTCTACAAAGCAAGTCCAGAACAGCCAAGGCTACACAGTGAAACCCCATCTCAAAATAAACAAAACAAAAAACAGGATCACTTGAAAACTGTGCCTATTTCTTTAACATGTTTCAGTTTTCCATTGGCTTTTCTCTATTTATAGTCCAAATTGGTCATAGGAATGATTGTTTTGTTTTTTCTTTCCTGCCTCTACAGGGAGTCAGCTGTTAATCTGGTGAGAAGTGGCTCCCACACTAGGCAGCTATGGAGGGATGAAGCAAAAGGAAATGAAACTCCACAGACAATTGCTCCTTCCACTTATGTGTCAACTTACTTGAAAAGGTACCAGCTGCAGAGGGTGGGAGGTGATCTTCAATTGATCCTGCTAATATGGGGAACAACTGCATGCTTTTTATATCCAATTAGCACCACAGAAATGAATGGCTTTTAGATTTCTTGGGATCAACATTTTCAGTAATTAAAATTAATTGTTCTTTTAATAACTGAGTTAAAGTAAGCCAGTTCCAATCCCCACCACAGACCCAACCTTACACTCTGTCTTTTCAGTCCTATTAAAATTTCAGTCTGAAGTGGCATCTAGTGCTCTGTGGGGAAGATGGAATTTATACACACTCGCCTAGTCTTGGCTTTCCCTTTTCTAAAACTAGGGTAGTTTTCATCACAAGTTATACTTGGGGGTAGGGGAGGGAGGGGCAGGATAGGGTGGTAAGGAGTGGGAAATGGGAATAGTTTTCTGTTGGATTTAAGACATTTCTTATTGAGCCTACTAATTTAGGGACTTGAGTTGTTTTTGTTCTTTTATGACTTTAATGGCCCTCAGATCCATCAAGATGTGCATCTCGCAAGTTTGGTGTGCAGAGAAGGTACATGGGTTCCTTTGATCTCATCTGTATTCTCTTTCCTGCAATTGTTTTCTTTGCCACAAGCTAGCCAGCAAGCAAAGCACCTCTGCCAGTACCATTCAGCTACAAGAGACACTTAATAATATTTTCATTTGAATTTGCTGCTGATATAGAAGAATCTGTTTTTCATTGCTTACTTTGAATTCTTTCTTCACTTCCACTTTTAACCCTTTCAGCTGCCTCCTCCTCCCTTCATTATGAGGCTTTCTAGATGGTACCTTAGAAACAGGCCTTGGCTAAGACTATAAGAGCCGATTGGTATTTGTGATTAAAACTATTTCTACCTAACAGGTAGTTAATATTGAAACATGGGGAATAAGCTGTAATGGAAACAGACACTGCTGCCTTTAATTTTTCAGTTCTACAGGTACATCCTAAGAAAGGTCTTGACTTTGAAAATATACAAGTCCAGTTCAGTGATCTCAATGGCTATTTTATTTTGTATATGTATGTATTTATATAGGCAGGGCTTCTTGTAGCGTCAGCTGGCCATAAACTCACTGTGTAGTTGAAAGTAGCCTTGAAACTTTGATCTACTTGCCTCTACCTCTTGAGCGCTGAGATTACAGGCGTATGTCACTACGAATGTTTATGAGGCTAGGAACTGACCCCAAGGCCTCCTGCATGCTAGGCAAGCACACTACCAACTGAGCTACAGCCAAGCCCACATACAAATCAGGTGTTTGGAATTTTATGAGGGTGTCACCTATTTCTCTTAAAGGGAAACACCTTGATTTACTAAGATACTGTTTCTTAGAGTCAAATCCAATATTCAAGAAAACTTTTCTAAGAGACTAATGTTCTAAAGGTAGGGAAAAAAGCTTCAATTTAGTTTCCAAGTGTGGAGTTATATGGGGGTGAGGTTGTTGATGTTTATGACCCAAATCGTCAGCAAATGGGTTTGGATGGCTTTGGTTTTTGTAGTTTGGCAAAGTTATAGTGAACAGAAGAAGAAAGGGCTGCAATTATGCTTAATTATATGAGCACTTTTTGCAAAAAGATCTACAACTTGCTTGATGCCTTAGATTTCCAGTGCTCATTTTCTGTGAACCTACAGTGATTTTCCCAAGAAGAAAGAATTGTATACCATCACCATTTACAAAAGAACGTGCAAGGAGGAATCCCTCATCCCCCTGCTGTGCCAAGCTTTGGTCTTCTTCACGTTTTCTACCTTATCTCTTGTGTTTAGTCAGGAACCTAGTCTTGTGCAGTCCAGTACAAGCCCCTTTTTTTCTAGTGACAGTTTCACAGCTTTTTGTCATCACGTGTCCCCACCACCCCAACCAGTGTTTTAGTACTGTAACATTCACAAAGCATTTTTACAAACTCCTACCCCAAATAATGTTTGGCAGAGTTAAGATAGTTCTTACTCTCTTCAGTTGAAAACAAATAAAAACCCTTGCCCTTTTTTCCCCCTACACACTATCACTGTGTAGACTTAAAACTTTAAATCCTCTCTAAGACATTTTTCTTTAAGGTAAATAACTGCATTTCTCAAGCCGTTTTTTTCCCCCTGCATAATTCTTTTCTCTTCGTTACTTTTTTGTTTTAAATTGAAGACCTCCCTGAACTCTTGGGTCTTTGGCTTTTACAGCATTACTTCTCTATCATGTAGGTGGTTGTGTTGCATGATTTGGGGTCTTGGGTTTGTTGGGGATTTTCTTTTCTTCTAATAATAGTTTGTTTTCATGTATTCTATTTTCTTGCTTTCTTTTGTTGAATGCCACCTCTCCTCCTTTATTCTTCTGTATGATCAAAAAAAAAAAATCATCCTTCAAAGAGTGGTGATTGCCTCACTCTTGGATGATTGCCTGCTTGCTGCTGGAGATCCAGCTCTGGCTGGAGTTACTTTTCCACTTCTGATTGCCATGCTGTCTCTTTGACCTACATTCCTTTCACATGCACAATCTGGGTGGGAAGGTGGTATTGGGAAATGGTGGGTGAGTAGCATGTCCTGAAGAAAGTGACTGTATGCTGTTTTGCAGTGCTTCATTTGGTAAAAGTAGTGACCCCACAAGTCCCTACATTTCAGCCAATCGCAATTCATCTCCTGCTACCTCACCCATTACCATTGGTTCATCTACCTCTCGGGGCAGCCAGTGGCAACCTGCCTCTTCTTGCCCTGCATCAGTCAGTACAAACACTGCTGCACCTGTGCAACCTGTCAGGTAAGGCTTCTTGGGAGCCATTTGAGTTGCATCATCACAGTTCATGCTTCTGGAAACACATGAGATTTGAAGCAAGAGGCTTTGTTAATGTAGGAGCACGTTTAAATTCCTGTGACAGTGTCCAGAATTTAATGAAGATGCTTTTGTTTTGACTTGCTAGCTGGTCAACAGTTGCTTATTGAATAAAATTGGATTCACACCATTGTCTTGATGTTCAAGGGTCAGTGTATCATGAATGCTTTCATTCCTCAACCACCTTTTCAGTTGTGACTACAGTTTTAGAGTCAGACCCATGATAATAAATTATTATGCATTAAAAGTTGCTATATTTTATTTACTAACATTCTAGTAAGAATCTTATGTATTTAGTTGTTTGGAAGATGACATACAAACTCAGAAGAAAAGCTAATCTATGCTCCAAAAGCCTCCTTATAGCATTCAGAGGAATGCTAATTTGTATTCTTTTGGGAGCACTATGAGAAAAGAGAGGTTTATGTTTGCAGAAACTGTGTCTGGGAGCATATCTTTCTGGTTTTTCCATTCATCTAAAGGTAGCATGGCAGAGTGTCATTGTGAAAGCACAGCAGGACTTCTGTTCCTTTATGTTTCATTTATTTTGAGGCAGGATCTCACCATACAGGCCTGGATGGCTTTGACTTCACTAAGTAAACCCGGTTGGCTTTGAACTGAGAGATCTGTCTCCTAAGTTCTGGGGTTAAAGACATGAACCACCACCTGCTGATACCCTCACACATGGACTTGATTTATGTGTATGTGTGTATGCCTGCTTGTTGGGTGCCACACGTGTGCAGTGCCTGCGGAGGCCAGAAAAAGGCACCGGAACTCTTAGGACTGCATGCTCTGGTGGTTGTGAGCCACCTGTAGTGGGTGCTGGGACAAAACCAAGATCCTCTGCATGAGCATCAAGTGCTCTTAGCCAGAGCATTTTCCCAGCCATTAACTACATTTTGCACTGCAGGTTTTTACCCTGTCCTGGCTGTTGGAGGCTATTTTGTCTTTGCCATATGGCTTTTTTAGGTTTTGTTTTGGTAAAATGAAGATTAAAAAAGAAATAGAAATGGTAATAGTATTGTTGCCAGAACACCTGTTATGGTAGTACTTGGTTGATGTTTGCTTGTTTACTAGATTTCTTTCCCTGAAACAAATAGTCATCATTAATTTGGTTAGAAAGAACTATTTTGTAATGCATTAGAATTAAAACTGGTATAATTATGAAGAGATTTCAGGCTTATGACCGTAATAGTAACACTGTTATAGTTGCATAGAAATTTAGTAGATAAATTTATTTAATAATATAGCTATATTGACCTTCTGTATAATATCACCAAAGATGAAGAACCCAAACAGGTAGATGGAAAGCTTAACTTAATGTCTCAGCATTTGTTTAGCATGCCTAAGGCCTTGGCCTCAACCCTCTGCACTGAGGAAATCACAGAGCTGAAACTGGGGAAATTTTTGTTGAACCCTGTTTTGTGACAGGCACTGGATTAGTTTCTCTGCAAAGGGGATTTATATGCTTGGGTTTGGTTTATTCACATGTAGCAATAAATTCCTGTAATATTGCTTTAAGTATAATAAAGCTTCTTTTTTCTTAAAAGTTAAGAAAGCCCAGAAACAGGGCCAGCACAGTGGCTTCAGAATCATTAAAAGATCCAGTGCTTTTTCTTTGCACCATGGATTCTATTTTTGAGGCTTGCCTCACAGCCCAGAATGACTGCTGGAGCTCTAGCCATGCTCGCGCATTCTGGGAAAGAAGTAGTAAGACAAAGAGGAAGCTGTCAGAGAGAGACATCTAAGTTAACATTTTTTTCCCAGAAATTTTAGATCTATGTTATGTCTCATGGGAAATTTCCAGCATCTGGCAGACCTTGGAAGATGTCGATTTGGGGTAGCTACATTGTTGTCTTAAAAAATAGGAGCACATAGGGCTGGAGAGATGGCTCCATGGGTAAAGGAACATTCAAGCCTGATGACCTAAATTCACACTGCAAATTGCCTTCTGACCTCTGCAAGCACATCTGCGTGCATACAAGCCCTGACCCCACACACACCACAAATAAATGTAAAAATATTATCTCAAAAGATAAAAATATAACTTAAAAACATATAGGGCACCTGTTAGGAAGGTAAGGGGCAATGACTATTAGTCAGGTAACTTCTGCCTTGGGCAGTCATGTCATTTTATGAGTAGCCCCCTGGTATATTAAACATTGTATGTAATTTTGAATGCGGAAAGCAAATCAAAAGCTTAATGATCTGCTCAGATCACATAGCCATTGAGGAACTGAAACAGGTTTTATATCCACATTAGTTCATGCAAAACCCACCTATTTTGTCATGTTTTGTTTACACTGAGTCTATATTTTATTCTGCATACTGTTTAAATGTTGTACTCACATTATTTTGTTTCATCATCATGAGAACTCTGCATGATGCAGTATTATTTTCTGTATTTTATGGATGGAAAGATCAGATCTTTAAGTAGGTTGAGTGTCAGCACCATGTGGCTGCATTGTATGGCTCCTACACAGGGCTTCATTGTGTGACTCCTAATCCTGCTTTCCCGGCTTCCCTGAACAGCCTGCTTGTGAAATTATAACATGTTCAAAATAATAGTAAAGTTCTACTGGACAGAAAAATAAAATAAAATTTCTAGCATTTCAACAGCCCAAGAAATTGCAAGTCTGGCAGGATGGTTCAGCATATAAAGATATGTGGGGCACAGGCCTGACAACCTGAGTTTGAGCTCCAGAATCCATGTAAAGGAAGGAGTCAACTCCACAAAGTTGTCTTCTGGCCTCCTCACATATACATTGTGCACATGCACATACAGTAATAAATAGACTTTTAAGAAAGAAATTGCAGAGAAGCCAAAACACATTATTAGCCCCAAAAGAAACTTCAGTAAGTTTTTGTTAAGTATAAAATCTTACTTAAGGCTTTTTGTTTGTTTGTTTCTGTTTTGTTTGATACTGGGGAAGTAGGGGTGTATGGTTTTTGTTTTTGTTTTTTGGTCGAGAAGTGGAGTGTCTTTCCCAGACTGGTCTCAACTCTTGGGTTTATGGAATCTTCCTGTTCCAGCCTCCTAGGAGTTGAGAGTTGTAGATATATACACTGTTCTCCAGGTTGGCCTCACATTTCTTATGGCCATGCCTCTTGTTAATTTTATTAGTACTCCCTGTATACTAATAAATCTGAGAAATTATTTCTCTCCAACTTTTTAGATGAGAAAATGAATATAAAATATCACCTTATTCTGAAATTTTAATTGCTTGTGAAAAAGTAGTATATAATGTTTTAGGTATAGCTTTTATCTTTAAAAGTGTTACATTTTTATGTGTTTTTAATGCCATGTTTAGACTTTATGATTTGATTATCTCTTTTCTACTTAATAATGTAATTATTTGGAAGTGAGCTTATAGGTACTTGTAAACATTTCTGATAATTGTGAGTAGGTGAAAAACAGATTTTTAACATTCATGCTTTTCATTGCTTTTCTCATCTCTGCAAGTATCAATTTTGGATCTCTGTTACCCCAGCAACAAGCTGTGACATCACAAATGATAGCTTCTTGGGTGGAGAGCCAATGGTTGTTCCTGACTCTTTGTTAAGAAACAAAGATCTTATTTTCACATAAATGACTTTAATTACACGGCTTGCTGTTGCAGTCTGTAGTTAAGGTTACATATAGAATCCTGCTCGATTTCTGTTTCAGTTTCTTACTTAGGCAGCTATGAATGTAGAGAATTAGGTGCTTGGCTAAATGGAAAAAGACTGCAGTTGCTGGTCTAGGTGAGAGAGAACCAAATAGACTGAGGTTGTAAAATGCTTTTCAAATGGATAATTCAAGAAGATGATCATCAAATCTAGGCTGAGGAGTGCCACAAAGACTTCCCCTGCCAAGAATTGAGGGACAGGTGGAGACTAATATCGTAAGTGATTTAGTGTCTTTTTCACCTGTGGTGAGAGCCTGTCTCTTTGTGCATGTGCGGAGGGAGGTCAGGTGGCAATGACTCATTTAAGACACTCTTGCATATGTCACTATCTTGCCTTGTGCCACAGCTGATTTTTGTTTGTTTGTTTTTTAATCTCATGCAAAAAAAAAAAAATCCTATACAATATAAATCCTGGGCAGAAAATGTCAGACCAAATGTATAATCATGCTGTTCCAGTATTTCAGAGCTCAGAATTATCAAACCAACAAACAAAATCCGAGCAAGAAGATTCTCATTAGACCTATGCGTCCTTTTTCTGTGCAGTGTTTTGTTGCACACCATGCCTGAGCTTCCTCCTTTTGTCCCTGTCTTTCTTGATTTCAGGGCTCCTTACAAATCCCAGGCTGACTCAACAGCAGAAAGGAAAACAGATAGCGTGTCGTCCAGTACTCCACTGTGTGTGATCACCAACCGCCCTGCATCAGGCACTGCCAATGGAGTCCCCTCTGCCACAGTATTCTCCTCCGCTGGAACAGAGTCCTCTGCAGAAGGCCGGGAGAAGAGGAGGTATGAGGTCACCGACGCATTTGCAGGGCTCTGCACTGAGATAAGAGACAGAGAAGAGGGTATAAAGTGTTTGACCCACGCTCAGATAGGTCTTACTTTTACTGTTGGGTTATGTTTTAGCTTGGGAGTTTTTCTGTGGCAGAGGTAGTTCTGACTATTAAGCATTATGTTGTGTGTATAGTCAGAGCTCTTTTTTCTATTTATCTTATAATTGGCAGGCATATTTTTGCCTTTTGTGATGGGAGCTTGAAGCACCAAGAAAGATCCTTTGTTTTGTTCTTAGTTTTCTGTGATCACTTCATGCAGCAACCTAATACTTTGATAAAAGCTCAAAGAAGCAGCACTGGGTGTGTAGTTTTAATTCATGTGAGACTAATACCAGGGAAGGAAATGAGCATTTGTGGTGATGTGGGATTGTAACTCTCTTGTCTGCAGTTGTTGAGACTTGCTGTGCTCCTCAGGCTGGCTTTGATCTTTTGATCCTTGCCTTTGCCTGCCTGAGACTAGGAACACAGATGCTTACTACCGTGCTCTGCTACACTGCAGGATTTTTAGAGAGAAATTTCAAGAGCAGATGGAGACTGATATGAGACAGATTTTGAAGAGGAGCAGAAGTTTTCAGTCGTGAGGATTAAGAGACAGTGTGACGATAGAAAGAACTATTGCTCATTGTCTGGAGCTTGAAGTCATATAAAATCCAATGTGTGTGGAAGACTGAGGCTGTGGTATCAGTTTTTGAAGACTAGAAAAAGAGACAAGCCTTTGTCAAGATTTAGATTTTTAGTTTGACTTATTTTCAGCATCCAAAAAGATATTTTTCTATTTCTCAGTGTGAGAAGCCAGAAAATGCTATTTAAAAGATACAGTACTGAACTTTTTAGTTATTTGTTCATAGAGAAAGCAACCTAAAACATACATTTTGAGAAAGAAGTTAAGTGTGTTGAAAAATAGTATTTCCCTGTTATTTTTCTTTTCATAAAATTAAAAAAATCAACTATCTGGACTAACAGATATGTGTGCATGTATAAGTGCATGTGTACATGCGTGCAACTGTGTGTGTGTGTGTGTGTGTGTGTGTGTGTATGCGTGTATGCATGCATGTCCTGTGTATTGCTGGTGCCCTTGGAGACCAGAAGAAGGGATCAGATACCCTGGAGCTGGAGTTACAGGAGATTGTGAGCCTCCCTGATATGGGTGCTAGCACCCAAATTCAAGACCTCCGAGGAGCAGCAAGTGTTCTTAAGAGCTGAGTCACTCTTAAGAGCTGAGCTAACCCCTCAGTTCTCTTTAAACTGGCTTCTAGTAAAGTAAATATTATAAGTCAGTCCTGAATGTGTAATGCTGGTATATTTACTCTAGTGAGCAGAGAAGTACCATTCCTTTCATTTGAGAAGCTAAAGAGCAGTCTTTTCATTAGCTAAAAAAGAAATCACTCTTTAGAAATGTTTCTTAGGGCAGGGGATATGACTCAATTGATAAAGTGTACAAGTGTAAGGACATGAGTACACATCATCAACAGTCACGTAATAGCAGGACATAGCATCTCACTTCTGTAATCTCTAGTTGGACTTCTGTAATCTCTACTTGGAGGAGGCAGAAATAGTTAGAGTCTTAGAGCTTCACTGGCCAGGCAGCATAGCCTTCAGGTTCAGTGAGAGACCCTGTCTCAAAAAGTTGGAGTGGATGAAACAGTGCAAGCAGGACATCCTAGCAGTTAATAGCAATCTGTCTCTATTTTGTGAACCTTGAAGCTTTAATGAGAGCTCAGCTGCTAAAAGATATATAGACTGTTGAGAGTATTCTACAAGGTCCTTAGGATATGATTGATAAAGCTCATACCCCATTGTATATTAGTGCTTTGGGGTTTTCTTGATTTAGAATAACTAGCAACAAAGCCAGCCCATCTGTGATACATGTTCAGAGGTCTATGCTACACTACCCTGAGCATCTTTGAACATAGTTCCAGCAGATGAGCACCCTGTAATGCAGGGACAGGTAGCTCAAAGGAATAATACATTTTGGGGAGGAAGAAGCCTGATCCATTTACATCTGTTTAGCTCTATATCTGTTTAGCTTCACACCTGTTCTTTTTTATTTGGCTTTACTATCTTCAGGTACCTTGACCCTTTCCTGGCCAAATATCTCAGACTCAGTGATCACTGTACCATTAACTTTTGCAAGACAGACTTGCTTCTTGCTATGTATCTGCCAACATTCACATTAGCGCAATCTTTCTTGGCCTACTGCCACTATGGTGGTAGGTTTTAGGTAGTGTCATAGTGCCTTTTGATTAATTTAAATATTTAATTTTCCTCTTTCTTGGATCTGTTTGGCCTCAATTGAATAGATTTCTGCTAAAGAATTTGATGTTATAGTCTCTTACAGAAGAAACTTACTAAAATATCTGTTAGTATGCAAAAAAAAAAAAAAAAGTTAGAGTGGAGAAGTAGTTAAGGAAGACACCCTCCCCCAACATACCTGTATATGAACATGTACACACTCATACAGATATATATATACCCACATCTCCCACACAAAGTGTTTCTTAGTTGAGAGAAATAAAACAAGTTAAATTCATTAAAATTGTGATCCTTGGAAAGATGGGGAAATCATTCTTGTTTTCAGGCTGTATTGAATTGCTGCATCAATCAGAGAGTCATACAGAGCCATTGTCTCTGGGAATGCCATAACCTACAGTGGATAAGACAGCACTTGCTACAGATTTTGATTCTGTTTTGTCAGTACACAAATATCCACTGAGCACCTTCTACTTAGCAAATAGGATGACATTTCCTCAAGAAGCAGCAACAAACAACTAGCTGGGCGTGGGTGGTGTACACCTTTAATCCCAGCACTCAGGAGGCAGAGGCAGGAGCTGTATGAATTCCAGGCCAGCCAGGGATACACAGTGAAACCCTGTCTACATAAAAGGAACAAAAGAATTAAAAGACTGAGCTGATAAAATAGTGAACTGTAAGTATGCTGTATCAAGATGCATGAATTTTAATGCCTTTAAGAATAGCATGAAGCTAAGCAAAAAGGAGGACCCTGGATAAGATGCTCAATCCTCATTCAGAAAGACAGATGGGATGGACATCAGAAGAGGAAGAAAACAGGGAACAGGACAGGAGCCCATCACAGAGGGCCTCTGAAAGACTCTACCCAGAGGGTATCAAAGCAGAGGCTGAGACTCATAGCCAAACTTTAGGCAGAGTGCAGGGAATCTGATGAAAGAAGGGAGAGATAGAAAGATCTGGAGCAGACAGGAGCTCCTAAAGGAAAGCAAAAATAAAAAATAAATTAAAAAAATAAAAATAAAAAAATCTGGGTACAGGGGTCTTTTCTGAGACTGATACTCCAACCAAGGACCATGTGTGGAGATAACCTAGAACCCCTGCACAGATGTAGCCCATGGCAGTTCAGTATCCAAGGAGGTTCCCTAGTAATGGGAACAGGGCCTGTCTCTGAACTCAGTGGCTGGTGATTTGATCACCTTATCCGGCTATAGAAGAAGACAATGCAGCCAGTCCTGATGAGAATTGATAGACTAGGATCAGAGGGAAGGGGAGGAGGACTTCCCCTATCAGTGGACTTGGGGAGGGGCAATGGAGGAGATGAGGGAAGGAGGGCAGGATTGGAAGGGGACTAGGGAGGATATGAAGTGAATAAACTGTAATTAATAAAACAATAATTAAATTTTTAAAATAACTATTTCACATTTGCATGAAAAAAAAGAATAGCATGAAGTGAGGCTGGAGAGATGATTCAGCATTTGTTGCTCTTGCAGAGGACACAGGTTCTAGTCTCACTCAGCACTCACATGCAGACTTAGAAGCATCCTAACTCCAATCCCAGGGGATCCATGTCCATTTTCTGACTTCTGTAGGCACCAGGCACACACATTGTACTCATACATACATTCAGATAAAACATTTGTACACATGAAGAATGGCATGAGGGAAATAAGTAGAATGACTCTAGATCAAGAGCTGTTAGTCACTTTCACTCCAGATTGCTGCTATTGCCAGAAATCACATTAAGCCTAAGTAGTACATGAGTGTTCTAGAAAGATATGACATAAGCCTACAGGAAGCATATGTGCTGGTAAAGATGACAGATGTTACAATAATTACCTCAGTGTTACATACAGTGGGACATCATTAATCTGAAAAGTGACAGTGTTCCACATTACACACATACACTAAATTGGTTTTGTTTTTGTTTCAGAAAGACACAGGTCTTGCTGTGTCTCTCTGACTGAACTGGTACTTACTATATAGCCCAGGCTTTTGGCGATATAGCAATCCTTTAGGCACAGCCTCCTGAATTTTAAGATTACATATGGCACCACACCTGACTTCCTATACAAAATTATTTTTAAAAATGCATACGATTAACCTCATATTATGTGTAGGGTGGATATGTCAGTTTGGACACTGTGAAAAGCATCTCAGAGAAACTATTTAACAGGAGGACAGTTTATGTTGCTCATGACTTCAGAGATTTCAGTCCGTGGCCAGCTGGCTTATTGTTTCTGTGCCTTTGGTGAGGCAGAACATCATGATGGATGGAAGGAAGGAGGAGCAAAGCTGCTCATGTCTTGCTAGCAAGAGGGCAGAGAGCAACTGAGGACGTGGGCTGGAACAGTATAGCTCCTGGGACTGCCCCTCCAGTGACCAACCCTGCTAATGAAGCCGCCCCTCTGAATGTCTGTAACATTGAACTGTACTTATCTGGTCACTGCTCAGGTGCCGGGCCTACTAGCACATGAACATGTTCTGGGGGGATACATCATATTAAGCATAAATCGATCTTATGTTTAGATACAGATTTCTTATAAAAAATAACTCATTATGTTTATGAAAGTTTGAAAAAATTCAAAATCTAATATGTTTCTAATATGCCTAGCAGTTTGGTTAAGAGGTACTCAGCCTGTACCAGAAAGAGGTGGTGTGAGTTATGAATGGTGTATTGCAGAGATCTGCTCCTGAGCACTTCTC